GCTTTTGGAGGATGGAGACTGTATCTCACTGATGTTTTACCCTCTATACATAACATATAGTAGGTACTCTGTAAAGTTTAAGGAATGAAATATGAATGAATACTTAGCCGTTACCGTACCTATCCCCATGGATGTTGTTCCAAGTTTTTGAAGATGTGATTTGACAGTATGTTAAATATGTATGCATTGCTGAGAAGGCTGTTTTAGCAACAGCAGTGTCCTGGCATGCTGTTAGAATTGAAAGACCTACAAGGAGATTATCCTATATCTCAGGCCCCTCCTGGCCCTGAGATTCTATGGTTTTTTGATTTCACTTTAGAGAGTTTGTGGTGCTGCTTTCTTTGGCACAGCTCCACAGAATCTAGGATAAATTGACTGAAATTCATGTCATGAGGTATAAGTGTTTTTGTTAAGCCCTGTCAGAAAATTTGTTTTTCAAAGTGATTTTCTCATTTATATGCAATTTTCCAAAATACCCTTAGAAATGTAGTCAATTGCCAGAAACCATATTATTAAAGTAAGACATCAGCAAAAATGGCAGAGTAAGAACCTCTGAAAATTCCCTCCATAACAACAATGAAAAAACTGGCAGAAATAGAATCAACTTTTTCAGAACTCTAGAAATGAACTAAAGGCTTGCAGCAATACAGGAACATTTATTCAAGAAAAATGGCTGCATGTTGATAAGAACAGTGAGCTTTCTGGTATTAATATTTTCATTCACCATATTCTCATCCCTTTCTCCCTGGCTCTGCAGTAGCCTTCAAAATCAATAGCCTGCAATCACAGGGAAAACCAGCAGCCTGGCAGCCACCAGAGGAGACAGAATAGGGTTGGAACTCCTTTAGAGTCTCATTTCTAGAGAATTGTTATTATTAGATCTGTCTGGAGTTCCCTCAGAAGACCCCCACTTGTAAGACTGTATTTATTTGGCCTGGCATAGAGCTACAGAAAGCCTTTTCCCTAGGGTCTTGCTTTTGGAAAACGATTAGAGGCAATCAATTAACTTCTCAGCTGCCTGAAGCAATGGATAACATTTCCAGCTAACCACAAAGCTTCAAAGAAAAAGCTGGGGAATGAGATTTCTGGAGCTTTGGAAAGCTTGGGCATATTCCTGGGAATCTACAAGATCACATGCATGCATAGGGCTGTGCACATGCTTGGGAAAGACCTCATTAGGTCCTAGGCTGTCACTCTAGCTGATCCTGAGCTCTGCATAAGCAGAAAGTGAGGACAAAGGCAGTTATCAACTGTGTGGCTGAGTGTTGAAGACGTGCCCCAACATGTACTCTTGGCCAAGACTAGGAGGCTTTTTGGTTCCAGGAATTTAAGGAAATCTTTGTCTAATTATGAGCTGGCCACTAAGCTAACCCAGCAGAGACTTCAGTACAATAATTATGATTAAAGCCAAGTGGAACAGGGTGAAGCCTGTTGTCCCTGAGACCTTGTAAAAACTAATTCTTGGTCCACCAGGTTATAAATTTGTAGCTCTGCCTATATAGTCCCTATCTCTTTAAACAGGCTGAAAAGGCAAGGAACTCATATCAGCCTGATATCCAGTTTGTTTATTTTTAAAGGCAAGACAAAGGTAGTTTGTGAAAAATTTAAAACACAAGTATTGCTATTAATCAGAAGTAATTATATTGGAAATGGTATTTCACTTCTGTACTTCATCCACTTCCCAGAATGGTTTTTCATCTGTCTGAGTTCACCCTGTGTAGGATCTGTTCCTCTTTCCTCCCTAGACCCCCATGTGCATAATCTTCCCATGTCACTGCTTTTTGCTTCTGTTAATTTCATTTTCTGTTCTTTCATTTGTTCTATACATGTAGCCTTGATTCAGGTATGGCTGTAGCCTGACATACTGCATTCAGGTTGGCTATCTTCTAAGAGAAGAATCAAGAAATATAGAGACTGTAATGACCTTCTTGCTGGCTTAGCTAGGCCTGAGAGGGAGTGAAGTGCAAGAGTAAAATTCTTTGGCTGCCATTTTGATCAGAGCCATTCGGAATGAAGCAGGGCAGTTGTCACAGGCTTTAAAGGGCTTTGCTAATTTGACCAGATAACTGGCCAGTGACTCACTGAGACAGGGTTGGCGATAGAGAAATGGTTTTCTTTGGCCAGTACTAAAAAAAGACCCAAGGCTTATATGCATACATGCTGTACATTCATCCAATGCTACCCTTCTTCACCCCCACCAAGACAATGTCAGAGAGGTTGCCCTTTTCCCACACTGTACTCAAGTTACTTATTTTCTGATTTTCTTTCTCTGTTTAGGCTATATTGGATGTTCATTTAAAATGGATTTCTCCTGCCTGTAAGGGGTAGAGGGTAGGGTAGGGAGGTACACAGTGTGATTTGCCTCGCCTCAGTCCACCACCTTCTGGGGATGGCCTGACCTGGATGATCAATTTTAGCCTGGTATTTCCTGAGCATGGGCCAGGGGCTAAGGCCAGCAGCAGAGAGGCTAAGATGGCACAGGCTCCCTGGCAGATTTGGTAGTGATGAATTTTCACTGGGGAACAAAATGGCTGATTCTAACTTCTTTTGACTTGAAATACTGCAGAGACTATCATCTTAATAATTAAAATATGTTGAGGAGAAAGGCTAACCCTGAATGACTGGAATTCTGTAAGATATTTTATGAAAGTAGTATCCCTGGTTAGCTGTGTTTCTAAAAGGTCTTGTACAAATTATAATTTCAACTTCCAACAAAATATTTATATGATCAGAACAGAAATATTTAGGAGCATTTATTTGTATGAAAACAACATGCCCATACCTTAGAAAACAAAAACAAAATAAAATAAAATAATTTATCCTTTTAAATGAGTTAGACATATCCCACAATGCCATTTGTACAGGAAACTCTACCCATAGGGCTCTTAGGGATTTCTTTTAGGGAATCTCTGCAGCTACTTGTAGTTATACAAATGGGCCCCTACTTTCTCTGTGCTCCCCTCTCCATAGGTGCTGAGGAGCCCCCACGAGCTGAGAGGTGTGTATTTGGGTATCTTAGCTTTGAACTTGAAATATATTTTCTCATAGAAATAGCACCATAAATGGTGAAATAGGCTATCAATTTAAATTTTCTAATTACAGATTAAAATAGGTTTTGTGAACTGGATTAGAAATATATTTACTGTTTAAAATATAATTTCTCTCAGAAAATTATTATATTTTATTTATTTTTTTAAAGAAACGGGGTCTCACTCTGTTGGCCAGGGTGGTATTGAACTGCTGACCTCAAGCAATCCTCCCACCTCGGCTTTTCAAAGTGTAGGGATTACAGGCATGAGCCACCACGCCTGGCCTCTCTCAGAAGGTTAGTTATGAAGAACTTTGGAGATAGGACCCCTTCATAAGTCAATCTTGGGTGTTTTAGCAGACCTTTTCCCCACAGGTGGTACAAAAATGAATTTGAATTTTAACTCCTTTCATATTGCATGGTCATAACTTTGAAAAGTATGGCCTGTGAACTAATGAGATTTGGTTACATTTTGGGGGATACTTTGTGTTCAGAGATAACCACAGTTGTATGAGATAGGAAAAAACAAACTGTTTTTTACTCTGACACTCACCACTCAATTCTTCTGATACCACATTCCATGCAGTTCTCCAGCAGACACCAATAGTGTGTCCCATAATTTAATTCAATTCTGACAATACCTATCTGGAGTTAGAGTAAGATTCCACAGGCTGACAGCTCAGTCTTACAAGGCTGCTCCCACTTCAGATACCAGTCATAAGTTCCAGCTATATGTGCTTCTGACTGACAAGCTATAAATTGGGGTTCCCATGACCCCCTTCTCATATTTCATAATTTGCTAGGATGACTCACAGAACTCAGGGAAACACTTTGTTATGATTACCCATTTGTTATTAAAAAAAAAAATCACAAAACGTATAGATGGACAGCCAGATGGAAGAGATGCATAGGGAAAGCCATGTAGAAAGGGGCAGAGAGCAACCATGCCCTCTTTAGGCACACCACCCTCCAGACACCTCCAAATACTCAGCAACCCAGAAGTTCTCCAAGTCTCACAGTCCAGGGATTTTTATGAAGGATTCATCATGTAGAAATGATCAATTTTTGATTCAGTCTCCACTCTTCCCAAAGGATGGGGTTGGGACTGAAAGTTCCAAGCATTCTAATCATGGCTTGGTCTATCTGGTAATAAGCCTCCATCCAGAAACCCACCAAAAGATACCTCATTAGAACAGAAGATGCTCTTATCACCCAGGAAGTTCATTAGGAGCTCTGTGTCTGGAACCAGGGAGAAAGGCCAAATTTCAGAACAAAAGATGCATATAGCATCCATATCACCATAACAAGGGTTTTAGGAGCTCTGTGCCAGAAAATGGGGATAGAAACTAAAATATGTATTTCTTATTATATTTTAATAGTCATCTGTGAATACCAAGAACAAGTTATATTTACCATCAACTTCAAGAGCTTCCTTTGCAGTAGCCATATGTGAATATAATGGCAAATAAAAATACTATGAAAACATCTGGTCTTCCAGCTAAAATATTACCATATTCATAGTTGTACAAACATTCAGGCTTGTCACAGGACCTTCCAAGCCACTGGTCACTAGAATCCTCCCAATACAAACCTCATGATTTCCCTGTGACATGGGTAGGAGTTAGGTATGCAGCTATTATATCACCTCAGTACACTCAGACTAGGGGAAGCTTGATAATTGGCTATTTACAAAGAAGACCCCATGGTATAAACTGTTTTGAAGTAACTGTGGCCAAATGATTTTTTTAGAGATGGTGTTACCTGGAGAAAGGGAAGGTCAAAAGAGATGGTCAAGAGAAAATCCTTCAGCTAAAGATTTTTGAGGTCTTGTGAGTGTCTTTGTTGCTTAAGGAAAAGGAATTGCTTCCATTAGATTCAAGCTGCTGAACTTTCACCTTCAGGACAAAGGTAATAGTCAACCACAGAGCCCCTTCTATTAAATTTTGCTTAAGTTTCTTTCCTTTTCTTTCAGTTTTATCCAAGTATGAAAACCAGATTACTATTTTCACTGAGTACCTAGAAGAATATCCAAATACAGATGAGTTGGTATGGATCTTAGGGAAGCAGCATCTCCTTAAAACAGGTAAGATTTGGTAGCATTTGTCTGTAAGAACCCAGATGAAGTGGGCGTCTGAGATTCAGGGTTTGTACTTTTTCTCCTTGGGTTGGCAGAGCATTGCCTTGCTCAGTGTTAATGCTACTGTGAGGTAGATTGACCCTCTAGTCAACAGAGCTTAAGCCTCAGGACTTTTGCTTGGACAGGCCCCTTCCAAGGCCCCAATAGTATGTTTACATGTTTATATGTGTTTGCACAATTTGCACAAGTAATATATTTTTATTCATTTCCATAAATAGAATCCCCAAATTCTAGAAACCTTGGGTTTCAAAAAACACTGACCTGCTCCTGGTATCACTAACCAGTCTCTAGCCTTTTCTGATTGGGCTACATATTTATTATTCTCACATGCTTGTCTGGCTAGATAAAAACACCTAGGGGCTTCTAGACAACCCATAGATCTCAGAAACAATATCAGACCTAAGAAGTTTTTCTAATGTTTTAGATCTTTTGCTGACTATAGCACTGTCTCGTTTTATTCTAATTTTGTATAGAACTTTTAGCCACTGCAGCTAGGTGGAAAGAAGGCTTGAATTTTCTTCCTTACCATTATATTCTTATAGATTGGGAAAGAAAGACCTTTTAACTTGAAGCTGCTAACAACCCAGCACCCAGATAAAGCCAGAGCTTGGAAAGAGGCAGTTCTGAGATTTGTATCTTTCTGAGGAGACATCCTCTTCAGAGGCCCTCACTTAGTGTGGAGGAAAGAACAGGAAGAGGCTGATGAAAAGGCAGGAGAGGAAGTTAGGCATTGTCCAGCTCCTCCTGAGCCTGGATTCATTATTTTGATTGGAGAATTGCGAACAGTAAAGAGAGCCTGGAGCTAGCGATTAGGAGACCTTTGGTATTCAGACTCTTCTAACTAAGGTAAGTCACTTTATTTTTCTGGATCTTAACTTTTTTCACTGGCACTTAAAATGATGGGATTGGAGGGGATCTCTTCTAATTCTGCATTCATGACAACAGAAATCCCCAGGTTGCCAAATCCACTCATATTCAAATATTAAATTGGGAAATGCCTCTCACAGTGAAATCATTGTTGAAATGTCCATACAACTTCCCAAGCATAAAGCCACAGGGCATAAAGACTGTCAGAGGCTGGAGCGAGGGTGTGGACATTTAAGAGGATTAGGTATATAACAGCTAACATTTGTCACAGGTTCACTGCACACCAGTCACCATTGTCTAAGCACTTTACGTGTATTGTCTTTTGAATACTCATAACTCAATGAAGTAGGTACTATTATTCTCCCTATTTATGGATGAGGAAACTGAAGCTCTGGGGGGGTAAGTTAACTGGGTTACACAGCTGGTAAGTAGCAGAATCAGGGTTCAAACCAGAGTAAAGTATGACTTTGGATGTCTTACTCTTAAACATTATACATCTGCTTCCCTGACTGTGCTGGGCACTGGGCCATGGAGGGGAGGGAAAATGCAGATAGCTCAATTTTCCAATTTGCTCCAAAGAAAAGGAAGAGAGAAAATAGAAACTACTGGCTAAAAGTGCATTTCCCTTTGTTCTTCCTAAGTGCAGTGACTATAAGTTTATACAGAATACAATATAGACATGTTGAAAAGAGGGAGAGAGGTGACTAAGAAACACAGCCACATCTAAGTATAGATAAAAATGTGGAAGCCGTATTCACGGCCCATCAAAGTAAATTTATGTCATAAAATACAAGTAAGCATGCTTTGAAAAAAGACACAAAAACATTTGTGATATTTATATATGCATTTAGATTACAAGTGCCATTGCACTAGGTACTATAGATACATTTCTTACACACCTAATTTGCTTAGTAGGGCATTTCCTTTTTATTTAAACATGCATGTGTGCATGCAGACACGGACACACATGCACACACACAAACCAACCCCTAGTTTTTGTTTTGTTTTGTTTTGCTTGAGACAGAGTCTCTCTGTCTGTTACCCAGCCTAGAGTACAGTGGTGATCATAGCTCAGTGCAGCCTCGAACTCTTGGGCTCACGTGATCCTCACACCTCATTTTTTTTTTTTTTTTTTTTTAGAGATGGGGTCTCACTATGTTGTTCAGGCTGGTCTTGAATTCCTGACCTCAAGCGATCTCACTGCTTGGCCTCCCAAAGCACTGGGATTACAGGTGTGAGCCATTTGGCCCAGCCAAGCCTCTAGTTTTAGATAAGGGATGATGGGTGCTGATGCAAGATCCAACCAACCATCCTGTAGGCTGGGGCTGATAGTGTTGTTAGTGGGTTCTCTAGGATTCTTAATCTTCTTATTCCTCGTCTTTTGGCAATGATCCCAGTGTTTATAACTGCCAGGACTATGGAACTTGGTGAAAAGATGACAGGAGTTACCCAGTGTTATTACTCCAGTCAAGTAGCTCTGGACAAACCATAGGTTGGGAGAAATACTGAAATAATTTGGCTAAAATGAGATTGGGTTTCCTGTGAATTAACCTAGCCCCATAATAATGGAATTGACTGGTTATTTGAAATTAATTTAGCAGCTTGCTCAGAAGTAAAGGCAGGTGTTTTTAGATATGGTGATTTGATTTTAATTTTACATTTAATTACAGAAAAATCTAAGCTGTTGTCTGATATAAGTGCCCGTCTATGGTTTACATACAGAAGGAAATTTTCACCAATTGGTAGGTATATCATTTGTTTTACTGTGCTTTGTTCCATGTGGATAGCTTGCCTGAGGTTATCAGTGACTTCATAGAAACCTCAGAATTAATACCTCACTATAGCAAAGAATTTGATTTAGGGGACTAGGTAAATCTTACACATTATCCAAAAGTTTCATTGCTAAAGTATCATTTCACATATGGCTCCACGGCATTAAGGGGTTTAGATGGTATACTTTTAACCCCACCTCCAAGTGTTCAGGCCCTAGATGGTATTACTTGTTATACTTTTGAGATTAAAGGGAAAAATCAAATAACCTTTTAATTTGTATAATAGCTATTAAATTACAATCCACAGCTTTGTGGAACTACTTGATTATTAAAGAAAATTGTGCCTTGAAAGAAAGAAAATAATTTCTTTGTGTTTTTTTTTCCCCTTATGACATGAAAGCACCTTGCCATTGGAAAACAAATTACGGTAGTTTCCTTGGAACTAATTCTAGGCTGTTACCAGCTGCTATCTAGAAAAAAGGACAGTTCAATAAGTGAAGTGAATATGCTCTCTCTATAGAGGCTATGCAACACATTTGCAAGTAGGGTGGCTACTTCCTAGTATCATGGCCGTGTAGGAAAAGGGCCTACAAATGGTGAAATCTAATCTACTAAGAGGAAACCTGTCTGACCAATTTTGATACAGGATGGGACCTAGTAACTAGAATGAAATCAACCTTTCTCTTCAGTGCCAAAAATGAAGGTCACACAGACTTTTTTTTTTTTTTTGCTCTCCCCAGAAATATGCCAGTTAGTAACAAACAAAAGAGCAATCTTTAGTACTCAGTGGTTCTGAACTGTGAACTTTCTCTGGCTGAGGAGTTCTTCGCAAGGCTGGAAAACATTTCTAATTTTACTCTGCCAATATTTTGGCAATAGATAATCTCTTCTTTATGTGGGTCTCATCGTGTCTTTTTTATACTAATCTGGCCTGTAATCCCAGCATTAGCAAGAGCCAAAAGGCACCCCTTCCAGTTCACAAATTGGCTCCTCCTTCCCATCTTGTAGCAACTCTCCTTCAGTCCCCACAACAAAAGGAAAGGGTGACCACCTTGACCGATTTGTCCTACAAGGTTGATGACCCCCTTTGAAGTTAGTCTTCTGAGATCGTTCTTATAGCATATTTTTCCACTTCCACATTGGGAAAAGAAAACAACACAAAATATCCTCTCTGCCATCCAAGTTATCTGATTTCATTGGCCCTTTAGCAAAGTATATTGAGCTCACCCTGGCCTCATATGTGGGATTTTCTTTGTGTAATGTGTTCTTAAAATGGAACCTGTTGTCTTATTTCATTTATTAACTAATTTTATACCTTTTAAAGATACATTTCTAATGTATTAATATGAGTTTAAATTATGATCATATTCATAACATCAAGTATTTACATCATCCTCTATGGGTTCTAGAGCACTTTCACAGATATTCTCAGTTCTTACAATATCCACTGATAGTAGGCAGAGTATGTGCTATTATGCTCAGCCTATAGATGAGACTTAGATTAGATAACTAGAGCCTGGTCTTCTGATGCCTCATCTATGGATCTTTCCTCTATTTTACAATGTCCTTCTTGCTGTTTAGATCTTCATAGTATATATTCAGAATAATCACAAGCCTTCCAAATCTCTTTGACCATTTTGATGATTGCCTTTGGTAGTATTTATTCTTTACCTAAGTAAAACTGGCTTCCCAGAGAATTTCAGGGCCATGCAGGGGAGCTATACAAGGCAAGGTTTGGGTCTGGCAGATCATGACATGGAATGAACTAAGGGTGTTATTCATACATGGCAGTCACCTACCAAAATTGCATGTATATCTAGAAGTCTCCAAGCAGAAAGCATAAGGGACATGTTTAGTTCATTTTCTTGTTTTATGTTTGGCTGTAGAACTTGTTTTGGTTAACGCAGCACTATGTTTGCAAGTTCCAACCATATACCCAAATCTTGTTTGATCTCTGGGTATGTCAGTCACCTCACTTTTCAGAGTATATGTATTGGCCTGTCTTGTGTGAGTCCCAAATATGCTGATGTTTCAGGGAAGGGAAATTTGAGGAACTCAAATTCATTCCCTTCCATTTTTGCCAACAGGGGGAACAGGTCCTTCATCAGATGCTGGTTGGGGATGTATGCTACGCTGTGGACAGATGATGCTGGCTCAGGCCCTTATCTGTAGACATTTGGGAAGGGGTGAGTTAAATTTGTTTTATAAACTTTCTCGGAGACCTCTGCAGTATCACTTGCTGCTGTTGATTTAGCTTTGATGCTGAGCCTTGGGAACACTCAGTAACAAACCTGCAGGTCTTAAAATGCTCTCTGCAAGCTCATGGCGGGGCTGACAAGTCATCAAAGCCCCTCATAAGAAGGAAACAGCTAGTGTTTCCTTGTGAGTCACTAAGCCAGGGAGTTATTTTCCTGGGACAGAACTGAACATTGGGAGAGGTGTGTCATTTATCCTTTCCATCTTTGCTATTGTTCAAGTAACAAAGGGAGCAGGAAGAAGGGTGTGGTGGTAAGTCTGTTTCTTGACCTCATTTAAGATATCTGCCTGGGGAAGGACATAAGTGACCTAAAGGAAGTGCCTAATAGAGGGAGCTGGCGCTATTTTGGTTTTGGTTCACTAAGAATGTTCAGCTGATGACGAAGAAATCTTTATATTTGCTTCATTTGGAGGACATTTCATTAATTAAGAGCCTTCTGATAATGGTTATTGGAACTTTTGTGTTTTTTAGACCGAGTTTCACTCAGGCTCCCAGGCTGGAGTGCAGTGGTGCCATCTCAGCTCACTGCAACCTCTGACCCCCTGGGTTCAAACATTCTTCGCCTCAGCCTCCCGAGTAGCTGGGATTATAGGTGCCCACTGCCACACCTGGCTAATTTTTGTATTTTTAGTAGAGACGGGGTTTCACCATGTTAGCCAGGCTGATCTCAAACTCCTGACCTCAGGTGATCCACCTGCCTCGGCCTCCCAAAGTGCTGGGATTACAGGCATGAGCCACCGTGCTGGGCTGGTTGTTGGAACTCTTGAGTCTTGCTTTCTTAAGACGTGTGCATGCTACCCTATGGGCATCTGAAGGATAGGCTTGGCTGGATGCCAGTTCAGGCACTTGAGTTAAAGTCCAGTTGGACTTGGGGATGAGAGAGCGAAAGGACACTTTGGATGAGATGGGACTCCTGAACTCATCGGCTGTTGCTAATTGACATTCAGAGGTATGGAAACATCATTTTCCTTTTTCCACTGTGCAAACTCACAGACTTTTCTGCAGCTTTCAGAGAGGATTGAAGAAGGGCCTAGGGAGGTTTCAGGGCTTATTGCCTTCTCTTCAGGGTTTGGGATATACTGCTTCCCCTGGGTAGTATAATAATTTCTATTTTACAGATGAGGAAACCGGGCTCAGGGAAGTGATGTGATTTGCCCAGGGTAAAACAACAAGAAATGAAAAATTTGAGAATAAAATAAAGATCTTTTAACTCCTTGTGCAGTGATTTCCCTTGTTTATACATGCTTCTTGGTATAGATCTGTTCTTACTATTTAATTTCTTTTTTTATATATAACACACTTCAAAATGATTATTTTGGAAGTGAGTTCTGGAAGGAGGGAGCAAACTGGAAAAAAAACCTCCACAGTCAGCAGTCTCAATTGTTTCAGCACAAAAGCAAATAGCAGGAAGAAGTAGGAAATAGATCTTGTAGCTAAAATGAATTAAAAGAGTGATTTTGTGAAGATGTCTTTTGGATTGCTTCCTATTCAGCTATTTTTAAATTAAGGTAGAGTGTTCACTTACCATTGCCATCAGCAAATATTTAGTGGTGTTTAGCAGCCAGCTAACTAGGATTTCCCCAGACTTGGATAATTTGGTAGCTAATGAAAAGAAGTTGAATGTGATTCACCCTCTGAGGGCTGTGCTGGATCCAAAGTTAAAAACTTTGGTTTTACAAACACTAGAAGCAAAAGACAGCTGAAGAATCTGGAGATAATGGCCTTTGGCTTCACGTGTACTTCAGGCGTTATTTCAAACTCTAAAACCTCAGGGGAGAAATTTGTCTTGGAAGCAAACTAGGCCTCAGAAATCTGACCCATTAGACAGAGTTTCTAGAGCTGAGAGGATTGCTGTGATTACATAGAATTTTTGCAGTTGCCCTCAATAAGTTATAAATGGCCTCTGTATGATTTAGGAGGCTGAGCTGAAGGCATAGATATTATCCCGACAGATGCAGTTATTTTGGCTTTGATCTTAAGGAAACCTTGAACACCTGATAGCAAAGGTATTTGTTTTCCCAAAGCTCAGCATGGACTTTTGCAAAGGTGGTTTAAAAATGACAGTATGCAATTTTTTAAGCTTCCTTAGTTATGAATTGTGTATATTCCCCGGTGAACTGTTGTATATCAGAATAGCACCTCCTCCGCTGCCATGTGACCCTTTTGGCAATGCTGCCAAAATACAAGAACAAAAGCCGTTGCTGTCTATGTGGAGATGAGATGCTATGATGTCTGGGTTATATACCGATGTACTGCTGGGCTTTCTGTTGAACTCCTGTTCACTGAGAAACTGGCCAGAAAGGCCTTCGTGACATTGTTTTTATGTAGTATTTATCCAGCTCCAGCCCTTGGGTTAAGTCAATTCGTTGGTCAGCTTCTTGTTTTGCTTTTACTTTATACCCACTGAGTCTTTTAAAGCAATCACTTTCCAGATGTCTTTGTCATCAAAATGAAAGATACTTAGGAATGTTCTAACTTGATCATTCCTGCCTTCTAGATATAGTGCCTTTGTTTTCCTCCTAATTTTGTAGTTACAGTAAGAGTGCAGAGAGGTAATAAACAGTTATAAAAATGTTTTAACCCATTTTTTTTCTTGAAAAGACTGGAGCTGGGAGAAACAAAAAGAACAACCCAAAGAATACCAACGCATCCTACAGTGCTTCTTAGATAGAAAAGATTGTTGCTATTCTATCCATCAAATGGGTAAGGTCATAAATCAATCATTTAAAGGCAGTTTCTATTCTTGCTCCTTCTCTTCCCTTGCCTTATATGTGGCTCCATTAAGTTGTCCATCTGCTTAATTATTTATGCAAAAAATTAGGAGTTTGTGGCTTATTGGAAGATCTTTTGCTAACATGTTAATTTTTTCTACATAAAAACAGCACAAATGGGTGTAGGAGAAGGGAAATCAATTGGCGAATGGTTTGGACCAAATACAGTTGCACAGGTGTTAAAGTAAGTAAAAGAGTCTGGCATTTACCTTATTCTCCTGTCTGCTATGCCTCCCTCCCTAGTAGCTAAACCTCCCATCAACCTAGGTATTCTTGCAATCCCTCAAAGCTACTCCTCCCACTAAGCCATCAAATATCTGTGCCATTTTGCTCAGATGGCTCTTTGAAATGTGTAAGCATGGATATCTGTCCACTAAGCCATCACATATCTGTGCCATTTTGCTCAGATGGCTCTTTGAAATGTGTAAGCGTGGATATGTGTCCTGGTATATCAGAGTTATATTTGCTGGTAGCAGTATATGTGGTTGTATCCTAGTACTCATTCAGTGTCTCATGCTACAGATTGATGCTCATGTACCTAGGAGCCATTGGTCTGAGAATCCCTTTGAAACCAAAAGTTTCATTCTAAGTGGTAGAAGCTAAGCCAGCCTAAGCAAGAAATGGCCCCCACAGGGCTCCCACATGCACTGCATAATGTTTTAAATCCCTGTTCATTCAGCATTTTCTGTGTACCTTTACCATGCTAGGTTCTGGGTGTACAGAAATAAACTTGACACAGTCCTTGCTATTGGAGGAGACAAACCCCAGGGGAGTCTTGGAATCAGTTTGTCATCTCATAGCAGACTCAAGGTGTCCCAGGTTGTTATTTTTGCAGTTGTCTTGTTAAATTCCAGAATTCACCTCCCACCACAAGAGGCAAGGTGGAGAGGTCAGAACCAACTTTTTGAAAGCAAATGGGGTGAGTGATGTTAATACTTACACCTGCAGACCACTGTTTTCACTCTAACAACCTATCACTGGATAGAAACTCCATGAGGGCAGAGATTGTATTTATCTTGTTCACTCTGTAACTCTTTTACATAGAACTGCCTGGCATGCATAAGTACTCAATACGTGCTGGATGAATAAACGAAAATGGCAGCCAGAATCTGGGACCAGATTTAGGAATCAGAAGATTGAATCCTTCTGGCCGCCTGTGGTGTATTCAGCTCCTGGGCATTATGGGATGACCTATTCCATCCAAAGTACAGATGGGACCCTGTTTCCATTAACTAACCAGTCTTCAGTGAACTAGAATGCTTTGGGGATATTTATGTGAGGGGGGTGGCCTGGACTTTTTGGGGACCCAAGGAAAATCTATATTGATTTTACTCCTTGCTCACAATGTAACCTCTCTGTGGCTGCTTTCTTGCCATAGTCAGAGTGCCTTTTGGACATCACTGACTCTGCTGAGTAAAAATCTGGCAGGATTTCAGGAATCACTGTATGAACTTAGTGTGGAAAGTGTAAGATTAGATTGACTGTGCTGAGCCCAAAAATCCAGCTTGAAATGGTTGGTGTTAAAATAACATCCCTCGGAATTTGCTTCTTTCTTCTAAATTTTGAAGTTACCAACAAAAAAGTGGAAACATAGATTTTTTTTTCTTTGTTTTGAGATGGAGTCTTACTCTGTCACCCAGGCTGGGATTACAGGTGCCTGCAACCATACCCAGCTAATTTTTGTAATTTTAGTAGAGACAGGGTTTCACCATGTTGGTCAGGCTGGTCTCGAACTCCTGACCTCAGGTGATCCGCCCGCCTTGGCCTCCCAAAATGCTGGGATTACAGGCGTGAGCCACCACGGCAGCATACATTTTTTTAAAAGAATGTAAATAGGTTCCAATTCATCATGATCATTAGCATTAACAACAGCATATTATTATTATTATGTTATTGTTATTATTGTGGGGAAAAATAATTCTTTAAAATGAATGAAATACAAGTGTGATGATGGTAGTTAATGTCTTCCTGGGAGCTACCTGGTAGAGAGAATGTGTTTTCTTTGGTCCAACGAGACTGGGCTTTACCCACACATCCCAGAAGTAACCAGGTTAAACATGGTTTCTCTGAAACTGGCAAGGGAAGAAGGAAGGGGAGAAATAGGTGGGGTACTTTACATAGATCTCAGATCATCTCTGTTTTAAAGGGGTTTTCTATCTAATCTCCCATAAAGTCCTGCAGTTCAGCATGCTGGCTCTCTTCAGCTGCTGACCAGTAAAGCTCGGTACCCAAGTCAATCTGGGGCCTACGTCACTTGAGAGGCATTCTCAGTGCAGCTGGGGAGGAGAAGTGATCTCTCTCTCTCTCTCTCTCTCTCTCTGGGTTTACCTGGAACATATTCTCCATATTATCTATCATCTAAAACAAATACCTTTTTTTTTTTTTTTGAGATGGAGTTTCGCTGTTGTTACCCAGACTGGAGTGCAATGGCACGATCTCGGCTCACCGCAACCTCCGCCTTCTGGGTTCAAGCAATTCTCTTGCCTCAGCCTCCCGAGTAGCTGGGACTACAGGCGTACACCACCACGCCCAGCTAATTTTTGTATTTTTAGTAGAGATGGGGTTTCACCATGTTGACCAGGATGGTCTTGATCTCTTGACCTCGTGATCCACCCGCCTCGGCCTCACAAAGTGCTGGGATTACAGGCTTGAGCCACCGCGCTCGGCCTACAAATATCTATTTTTTAAGAACACCTTTCTTTTCAAACAAAATTGTTTTTACAGTTTCCCTTTTTTAAAATAAAATTTCAGTAACTCAGAATTTCCTTTGTTTAAGAAAACGGTCTCTTGGGACTTTGAGAACAGATGCTTGGGTAACTTTTCTTTTTTCCCCTGTAGGAGTCCCATTATTTTGTGAAGTAGACTTCTCCAGGTTGTAAAGCAGAAACTTCTTTTTGAGGTTCAGATACAGTGACTTTGTGGCATTCTCAAGGTCTCTAGACATGGAGCATCCCAGACCTCTGGCAAAGAAGCCAGAGCCAACCTGAATACCAGCTTTGTGGCTCAGCATTTGGTGACTTTAGGAACACTGGGCATAAATTGTACTGTTTTCTGCTGATATTTCCATCTTCCCAAATTGTGACTTCATTATACATTGCTTTGCAGAAAACTTGCTTTATTTGATGAATGGAATTCCTTGGCTGTTTATGTTTCAATGGATAACACAGTGGTCATTGAAGATATCAGTGAGTTACCAGCCTGTTTAACTTCCCAGCTGATGGGTGATGAGTTCCTTCCTCACCATTCAGAATTCTGGGGCTCAAGAGAGTCTCCCTGGTCTTCCCCACCAGGACAGGGGAGCTTAGGGGAGCATAGGGTTCTGATTCTCTTTCTTTTCAGCTTTCTGAAAGGGAGAACACAATTAAAGGCGCTTTGCTGCCCCTCAATGAGGTACCACACTCATTCACTACAGCAAATACAAAGTGTGTGTAATAATCTATTCAACCACCAACAGATCTTTTGTGAAGGCTCACTCTTGTCCAGGCCTGTGCTTCCTGCACTGGGGAGTAGAGCAACCTAGAGATACAGTCCCTGTCTCAAAGACCCTGACAGATTTGAGAAATGAGATTCTTCCAATGAGCCCAGAATCCCTACTGGGAGCTGAACAGGTACTCAGCGGCCAGAAAGAAGAATGTGAGCTCTAGAGGAATGACTGAGCTTTGTGGAGAGGGGAGTCAGCTGAGTCCTGGTAGCAGAGGACAAGGCCTTCTAGGCAGGGATGCAGGGTTGGAGTGGGGAGGGGGCATGTGAGGTTAACCTTAGTTTTGATTTTAGAATATCTTCTCGGGCTGAAGACTCCTTATCCAATTTTCTGTTCTTCCATTTCTAGAAAAAATGTGCCGTGTCCTTCCCTTGAGTGCTGACACACCTGGTGACAGGCCTCCCGATTCTCTGACTGCTTCAAACCAGAGTAAGGGCACCTCTGCCTACTGCCCAGCCTGGAAACCCCTGCTGCTCATTGTGCCCCTTCGCCTGGGCATAAACCAAATCAATCCTGTCTATGTTGATGCGTTCAAAGTAAGTCACTCCTTTCCCCGAGCCATTGTTGCCTGCCCATCACACCGCCATCTCAGCACAGAGATCCGTGAGCAGCAGTCCACAGTGAGTTGAGAATCTTGCATTCTCTTTCTCTCCAGGAGTGTTTTAAGATGCCACAGTCTTTAGGGGCATTAGGAGGAAAACCAAATAACGCGTATTATTTCATAGGATTCTTAGGTAAGAAAGGAGGAATCACAAGTAAGTCATCTTGGGCTAGGGGAGGGCGTGGGGACAAGGTTTGCATGGGAGACCAGTTAGTGGGTTCCCATCTAGCCAGGGATACCGCGGCCTCTGGTCAGCTCCTTCTGTCTCCAGCCTGATTGATGGAGAGTGATGTTTCTGTGTGCCTGATGGAAAGCCGGTCCCGTTTCAATGCCTTTACTTCCTTGCTTCTTGATAAGATGGTTCTATTGCTTCCCCACTGGGTAGCCCCAAGGTCACAGCATTGCTCCAGCATGTTTCTCTCCTGCCTGTGGGGCCCAGGGTAGTGGAATTTCAATCCCTTGGCTTTGCCAATATCTCTCTTACTAGGGTTCAGGCACTTAGGCTCGCAGCTGTCCTCTAGCTTCCAGGCCCCCACAGCTGGGCCTGCTGGCTCATTGTTCAGAGCTGTGACAGGGAGGGAATTAGAGGGGGCAAAGACAGAAGTATCCCTTTCCTGAGAATGGGGTCTAAGCCTTAAAACCACTAACCTCTTAATGGGGACCCGAGCAAGCAGCCCATCATTCCCTGCATAGGAAGTCACCTCTGGAAACCCATTTTCTTTACTCACTAGCTGTGACCAGAGACATTTGAAGGCCTTGGCACACAAGGTAATCTAGCCCAGGGCTTCTGAAACTTTAGCATGCACGTGAATCACCTTGGAGTGGAGGTTCAGTAGGTCTGGGGCGGGGCCTGAGATTCTGCATTTCTAACTAGCTGGTGCCGATGCTGCTAGTCCACAGACCACACTTTGCATACCCAGGGTCTAGACACCTGGTTAGTGCTGAAGAGCACGAGTTAGAGAGTGATGTGGCCAGGGAATTTGGTACAGGACACCTCTTGCAGGAGTGGAGTGGTCTGAGACTTCGGCTCAAGAAAGTTATGAGCTTGGATTGGTTGACAGGCAGGGGAGAGCTACAGGAGTCACAAGGAAATGGCATGAGGGCACATGCAAAGGACACGGTAGATATGGCCTTAGTTACCCACCCCAACCCATGTCCTCTTGGAGGTTCAGGGAGGTGAGGTGGGATGGGAACACACATACCTGGCTTTGCATGCCAATCCCCCACTTGCGAGCTGTGTAACTTCAGGAAAAAGATCAATATTCAATCTCAGATTCCTCTTATGTAAAATGGGACTAACGCCTGACTCACCCTGTTGTCATCTTACAATAAAGCGTTCAGCAAAGAGCCAGGCATATAGGACAGTCACTGAAAGGTGGCTGTACCTTGGCTTACCTCAACACCTCTTTTCTTTGCCAGCCCCCTTCTTCCTCTCTTGAGGTTGGGGGGCGGGATTTGCACAGCTGCCTCTGTTCTCAATAATGCTGCCATCTATTGGTTGAGCCTAAGAATTACAGCTAAATGGAAAGGAGCCTGTACAAAACCTAGTATCAGGAGTTCTACAAAATCAGATGCCCTCTGTTCCTAAGCATTTGGGTTCAAAGAAAATGTTGCAAAAAATAAATTTCCAATTGTTCATGCTTGACTTGGTCCGTTCAGGCCGTTATAACAGAATAGCATAGACTAGGTGGCTTTACGAGCAACAGAAATTTATGTCTCACTGTTCTGGAGGCTGGAGGTCCAAGATCCAGGCACTGGCAGATTCAGTGAGGGCCCACTTCCTGGTTCATAGATGGCTGGTTTCTTGCTGTGTTCTCAAATGACAGAAGGGACAAAGGAGCTTTCTGGAGTCTTTTTTATGAAGGCACTAATCCATTCATAGGGACTCCACCCTCATGACTTAATCACCTCCCAATGGCCCCACTTCCTAATACCATCATATTGGAGGTTAGGATTTCAACATGAATTTTAGGGAGACATAAACATTCAGTCCGCAACAGTATTTGAGGACAAGTTTGAAACATATTGGAAAATAACTTTGGAGGAATCTCAGTGAATAAGGTATGTGATTCCTGGGTGCCCTGACCTCCCTATCCCAAGTTACCTACAGAGAATTTTCCAAGCAGGTGTAGCCCTCCTGTTTCTTGGGGCCACTGGGTCAGGGTAGCTCTTGTGAAGTTTGACTACTCATTAAAAAGATGTGAGCAATCCTCAGTTCTTTAGTAGCCCAAGACAGAGCTTCATACAGTCTCCATTTGCTTGTTAACTTTTATAAGTCTTTTGTGCAAACTTGAGAGCTTCAAGTCCCTCCAACTCCCCTTTTCTGACTCACACCCTTACTATCTGAGGTTCAGTGGTCCAGATTGGCCGAATGTCTGAAGGGAGGAAAGAGATGCAAATTGGCATTTTCTAAATAGTTGTCCTGTGCCAGACACTCTGCAAAGTATATTATCTCTCTTTCTACATGTATATATACACACACACATACATATATATACACATACCTATGTACATATACATGACAGATATACATATATACAATATTCCTGTGAGGTAGAGATTGTTATTTCTCTTTTACTTGTGAAACAAAGAGCTAAGATTAAGAGAGATTTAAAAAGGTTATTTCTTCAAGGTGACTCAGCTAGAAAGTAGTGAAGCCCAGATTCGATCCCAATTTGGTCATCTCTACCTGCCACCTTCCGTTGCTCCTCTGGGGCCCTCCTGCCCAGCAGGAAGCAGAGAGAGCTCTAGGTATGGGAGGATATGGCCAGGATGAGACTCTGGCCTTCAGATTTTGCCTGCTTAGAGAGAAGGAGATGTTGGTTCCCTGCCCTTGGATATAGGTTGCCACCTGGAGACCCGTAGCATTAGCCCTGTTTCTGCAGGTGGCTGGCCAGCCTGCCTCTTTTCTCCAGGCCTCATTAGAGACCTTTGTTTAGTTCCCAGATCATTTCTAGAGCTTTTTATATCTATCATGTATCTTTTTAAAAAAATTTTATTTCAGATTCAGGAGGTACATGTGCTTGTTTGTTACATGGGTATTACATGTGCAATGGTGGGGATTGGGCTTCTAGTATACCTATCACCAAAATATTGAGCATTAACCCAAATAGATGATACTTAGATAAAAAAATGTAATATATACACTGTGGAATACTATGTAGCCATAAAAAGTAATGAAATCCTGTCCTCTGCAGCAACATGGATGGAGCTGGAGGCCATTATCCTAAGTGTACTGTATCTCTTATAAGCACTCTCAGCTTGTGGCTGGGTGTGGTGGTTCATACTGGTAATCCCAGCATTTTGTGAGGCCAAGGCAGGTGGATCACCTGAGCTCAGGAGTTTGAGACTAGCCAGGGCAACATGGTGAAACCATGTCTCTACCCAAAATACAAAAAATTAGCTGGATGTGGTGGCGCATTGCCTATAGACCCAGCTACTTGGAAGGCTGAGGTGGGAGGATTGTTTGAGCCTGGGAAGTCAAGGCTGCAGTGAGCCGATATTGTGCCACTGCACTCCAGCCTGGGGCGACAGATTGTATTAGGGTTCTCTAGAGGGCCAGAACTAATAGAATGTATATAATTATACATCTGGCCATTTCTCCTTCCATGCAAAGTGCACAACCAGCTGCACTGCTTGAAGTTGTGACCACTGGGAAGATTTCCCTTCAATGGGCTAGAGTGACACACCCAAGTGAGGAATGTGTTGCCTTCAAAATCCAAATAGGCCCGCTAGGCATCGTGCCTCTTTCTTGGTTGTAGGAGGGGGCAAATGCAGCAACTTATCCTTCATCTTAGATGGAATATCTCGACAGGCCCCACACCACTGGACCCCTATAAATTTTACTGAGTTAGAGGGACCCTGAATTTTAGTTGGGTTTATTTCCCATCCTTTGGCATGCAAATGTCTTACCCATAAGTCCAGTGTGTTTGCTACTTCTTGCTCACTGGATCCAATCAGCATAGTGTCATCAATGTAATGGACCAGTGTGATACCTTATGGAAGCAAAAATCAATCAAGGTCTCTCCAAATAAGACTATGACACAAAGCCGGAGAGTTCATATACCCCTGAAGTAGGACAGTCAAGGTATATTGCTGGCCTTGCCAGCTGAAGGCAGATTGCTTCTGGTGGACCTTATGGACAGGAATGGAGAAAAAGGCATTTGCCAAGTCAATGGCTCCATAACAGGTACCAGGAGATGCGTTAAGTTGCTCAAGCAATGAAACCACATTTGGTACAGCAGATGCAATTGGAGTCACCACTTGGATAAGCTAATGATAATCCACTGTCACTCTCTAAGATACAAGTATCTTCTGCACAGGCTAAATGGGAGAGTTGAGCGGGGATGTGGTGAGAATCACCACCTCTGGGTGTTTCAGGTCCTTGATGGTGGCACCAACCTCTGCAGTCCCTCCAGGGATGCAATATTGTTTGTGACTTACTATCTTTTCTAGGTAGAGGAAGCTGTTAATGCCTTCCATTTGGCCTCTCCCACTATAGTAGCCCTTACCCTACTCGCCAGGGAGCCAATGTAGGGGTTTTGCCAGCTGCTAAGTGTGTCTATGCCCATTATGCATTCTGGCACTGGGGAAATGACCACAGGATGAGTCTGGGCACCCACTAGGCCCATTGTAAGTTGGGCTAAAACTTAAATTAATTACCTGACCTCTATAAGCCCCTACTTTAACTGGAGGACCACATTGACGTTTTGAGTTCCCTGGAATCAACATCAGCTCAGAGCCAGTGTCCAGTAGGCTCCGAAACATCTGATCATTTCCCTTTTCCCAATGCACAGCTACCCTGGTAAAAGGCCAGAGGTCTCCCCGGGGAAGGATGGGAGAAAGATTAACTGTATAAATTGTCAGTAATGTAGCAAAGTCCTGCAGGCTGAGGAACAAAGAGAGTCAGACTGAATTCTAAAACTGAAGAACTTGGAGTCTGATGTTCAAGGGCAGGAAGCATCCAGCACGGGAGAAAGATGCAGGCTGGGAGCCTAGGCCAGTCTCTGTTTTTCACATTTTTCTGCGTGCTGCACTGGCAGCTGATTAGATTGTGTCCACCCAGATTAAGGGTGGGTCTGCCTTTCCCAGCCCACTGACTCAAATGTTAATCTCCTTTGGCAGCACCCTCACAGACACACCCAGGATCAATACTTTGTATCTTTCAATCCAGTGAAGTTGACACTCAGTATTAACCATCACACAGGAGAGCCTGCCTCAAATAAATAAATAAATAAATGATGCAGCTCGTTAAGCTCCACTCCATGCACACACACACACACACACACACACACCTCACCCATGGGAAAAGGTCCTGGTCAGAGTCAGAGAAGATATTATTCCTAACACCTTAACTCCAGATATCCCAATAGATGGCTCAGTTCTAACCCTGTTTTCGCTTTCTGTTTTCTTGCCTATAGCTTTCTTTCCCTTGGACCTTTCTATGGTTCTAGGTAGACTTCCTTCTAACCATCTTGGTTGCTTTTTAGAGTAGTCTGAGGCTTTTTTGCTATCAGTGATCTTGCCCACCTGTGGTCCGGGGTAAAAATAGCTACCTTGACTTTCATAAAGCAAGTCATATGGGGGCATTGATTTCTATATACTCTTAAAAATACATTTGTAGGGAAATACTGTTGATTTGCAGTAAGATAATTCTCTAGCCACCTTCTATTTGTATTTGTTTGTTTGTTTTGAGATGGAGTCTTGCCCTGTCGCCCAGGCTAGAGTGCAGTGGCATGATCTCGGCTCGCTACACCCTCCGCCTTCTGGGTTCAAGCAATTCTTCCGCCTCAGCCTCCCGAGTAGTTGGGATTACAGGCGCATGCCACCGTGCCTGGCTAATTTTGATATATTTTTTTAAGTAGAGATGGGGTTTTACCATGTTGGCCAGGCTGGTCTCAAACTCCCGAACTTGTGATCCACCCACCTCGGCCTCCCAAAGTGCTGGGATTACAAGCATGAGCCACTGCGTCTGGTCCTGTATTGTGTTTTAAGCATTTCACAAAGGTGAAGTCTTCTGGTCCTTGTAATATACCATGAGTCAACTAGAACAGGACCAATGACCCCATTTTAAAAATAACAAAATTAAGGCAGAGAGTGAATTATGTGGTTTGTCCTTGGCTTGTGATAGAAAAATGTTAGACTTTTCATGAGACTTCAGAGACAAACATATTCTTTGCCAACAGAAACGTGTAGATGTGCCCACACAATCCTGGATACTATTCCAGAGAGAGTCTTCGGGGTGTCTTTCCCTACCCTAGTCTTTGCAAGCAGGTAGATGTCTCCTTACTTGCCTGATGTAGTCGAGTACACAGAGTCCCAGATGGCCCTCAGGCCTAGACGGTAAGGCTGGGGTACGTCTTAGACACTTTTGCCTCCTTAGCCTGTGGCTGGTGAACATTAGAGGGACTTTTAGCCCTTTGAATATCAGGTCAAAGCAGAAATTTTATCCTAACCTCCTCCCATGTCATTTTGAACTTAGACTTTTTCTATTTGCCAAAGCATAGCTTATATCTCTTGTGTCAAGGTCAGTCATCTCAAAGTGAATTTTCCAAGTGAGCTGTATCTTCACTGATGGTAATATGACAAAGGCAGTGCTTCCTGACAGGAACTTACTAACTTGCTAATAAATACTAACTTGTTAGCTACTCAGGACCAGAAGTCAGCTCACTGGTTTCTCATCCATAAAGAGTCAGCATTCCCATTCCATAAAAAGTCAGCATTTCTTTCGAAGGTCAGGACCTTCTCCCTTATCAGCGGTGCTTTCTGAGAGTGGGGCTGATAGCCAGCGGTCTAGCCTGAGATGCTTTTCAATGTCAAGAGGCAGAAAGGTCCCTAATGGCACCTGGGCCCCAAACCTGGTGACTGCACCTACCACCTCTTTGCTACTGCTGCTCACAGAGCCTGCCATGCCATTTGTGGTCACTCATTCCCATATTTTCTTAAACCTGTCACTTTCCATTTTTGGACTTGGACTTCGAGGAGATGTAAATGCTAGGGCATATCTTCTCATTGAATGATATGATTTGGGCGCAAGTGACTTCCTTTAAGCATGCTCACCCTGGCTTCAGGCTTTCTGTCATTCCATTCTCATTGTCACCAAGGGAGGGGTTAAGGCAACCAGAACGCCTCCTCCCAAGGACAGCAGTGGGGCCAGGACCAGTAGTCCTTTGAGAGTTAAGTATGTCTCCTTCAAAACAGGTGACGAGCTCATCTTCTTGGACCCTCACACAACCCAGACCTTTGTCGACGCTGAAGAGAATGGAACGGTTAATGACCAGACTTTTCATTGCCTGCAGTCCCCACAGCGAATGAACATTCTGAACCTGGATCCTTCAGTTGCATTGGTAGGTATCTGAAGGTTGGGTGGGCCAGGAGATATGATGTGTACAGATTGGTTCCCTGGGAGTTATCCAGATTGCTAGATAGGGAAGCAAGAGTGTGTTAGCTCACTTTCCCCATTAGAGGCAGTAGAATGTAGTGGGGAGGGAACAGACCCACGAACCAAACTGCTCCAGTCGGAATCTTGGCTCTGCCACTTACTAACTGTATTAGTCTGTTCTCCCACTGCTAATAAAGACATACCCGAGGCTGGGTAATTTATAAAGGAAGGATGTTTAGTTGACTCACAGTTCCACATGGCTGGGGAGGCCTCCTAATCGTGGCACAAAATGAAGGAAAAGCAAGGGCATGTCTTACATGGTGACAGGCAAGAGAGCTTATGCAGGAGAACTCCCATTTATAAAACCATCAGATCTCATGAGACTTACTACCACGAGGATGGTATGGGGGAAACCACCCCCATGATTCAGTTATCTCTACCTGGTCCCACCCTTGACACGTGGAGATTATTATAATTCAAGGTGAGATTTGTGTGGGGACACAGCCAAACCATATCACTAACTATGCATCTAGGAGGAGTCACTTAACCTTTCTGAGCCTCGGTCTTCTCATCTCTGAAATGAGGAAAAAAAATAGTTCCTTCCTTATGGGGTTGTATGAGGTATAATGGATATAAGGCACTTAGCACGGGGCCTGGCATGTTGTAAGTATTCTATAAATTTTAGTTATTATCATCTTTCTCCCATTTCCTTCTTGTCCTCAAATTATTGCTACCAAGGGACAGGGAGGAAGGTGGGATATCACTAGGGAGAGATAAGGGAGCAAAAAGCCCTGGGTGCATACAATCGAGGAAGCTGCAGGGTTTTCCCCTAGAAATATGTTTGGTCTGTACACACACTGAAGGGGCATCTGCCTATGAAGTAGCCAATGGTTCTGAGGCCTGTCTGTCCTCTCCTCCAACTTAATCCAATTGTCAATATACCAGTGACCAAGAGCTGTGAGTCCTCTTGTGGACCATTCTTTCACTACTCTGGGATGGCTTTGAGATTGGGGAAGCAGACTGATGGTTCTCTCTATTCTGATAGATGATTTCCTGAAGGTCAATGCCATCTTCTTAAGTATTGCCTCCAGCTAAAAGTACTATTTGGTTTTTGTTTGTTGGCTTAACTGAATGTTCTTTGGAGATGTGTATATTTGTACACCAAATGTAGTGGAATTAACCCCACACTTTGAAGATATCTTCAAGTTAAAATATCTTGCAGCATGAGTAGAGAGGGAAAGGGACATAGAGCAAGGGTGAGAATGAGGGTGAGACAGAGAGATGTGTATGTCTGACTAAGGCAATGAGTTAGGAAAGAGAGAAGCCCAGATAGTCTTCCTCCTTTATTGCTGGAAAGTCACATCCACAGAGACTAGCCCACATACTAATTCTGGGCGACAGCTCCATTGTGCAATACCAAGGGTAATTCTAAGTTGTTTTCTTTTGCTTTCCCCCAAGGGATTTTTCTGCAAAGAAGAAAAAGACTTTGATAACTGGTGTAGCCTTGTTCAGAAGGTAAAGCTATATGTTTTTCTTAGTCTGAAAAATGAAGTTACTCAATTTGATTCCTTTTCAAGATTGTGTTTCATAGTAAAAATAATCCTACTCTGATATGACTTTACTACAAGAGAAAGAAACTAAGGCAACAAAGAAACTATCAGGTGTGGGTGTAGGAATTCACTCAGGATGGTGGCAAGAATATTAAGAGATAGTTATAAGTTATAGTAACAACCCTCCTTGGAAGACTGAGGGGTTTGCAATAGTTTCAGTAGAAGTTTCGGCTGAAGGCAGTCATGTAGTTAATGAGTTTACATGTAGTTAATGAGAAAAGCAAATAGTTAAGGTATGTGTAGGAGTTTATTTGAATAACTCACTAACCTTGGTGCAGGATGGCCCTCTGGGTCGAGGCGGGATGGGGGGAGATTGACACCTTAATGGTGTTTACGCTGAGCATAGGAGCCTAGCCTTTGATCTAAGTGATGTTGCTTCAAAGCTTTGTCATTTGATGTGTACTGAAGAAAGGCCTAGAGTAAAGGCTGCCGGCATTAACCCTTCCAGGGGAGAGGCCATGGATACCTCCAGCCCACTTGTTTACTGTACTCTCTGTGTTTAAGTGTATTCATTCCTCACTGAGTCATGGTCTACAGGACATACCCCTGCAGATAGTGATCAACGTCTCATTTGGGAAATTATGTATAACTTTGGGGAAACTGAACAAAAACTTTGCTTTGAAATATGCTTAGTATGTCAAGGAAGTTATATTTTTAGTGATGAAACCTAATATTTTATCTCATTAATAGAGAATTATTTTCTAAAGCTAATACTTATATTTTAAAATGTAGCAAAACTGTATTTATACCACACTTAAAGGTGGAATGAGAATTGATAAGACCATGCCTTTTATTTCATTTTATTATTATTTTTAAGACAAAGTCTTATTCTGTTGCCCAGGCTGGAGTGAAATGGTGAGATCTGGGCTCACTGCAAACTCTGTCTCCCAGGTTTAAGCGATTCTCCTCCCTCAGTCTCCCGAGTAGCTATGATTACAGGCATCCACCGTAATTTGTGTGTTTTTAGTAGAGATGGGGTTTCACTACATTGGCTAAGCTTGTCTCATACTCCTGATCCCAGGTTATCTGCCCCTTGACCTCCCAAAGTGCTGGGATTACAGGTGCGAGCCACCATGTCTGGCCAAGACTATGCCATTTAAATTAGGATATATACCATACATTTTGGACTGCCACTGAAACCATGCCAATATGTAGCAATAGTCTTTTAGGGCAGATTTAATTTGACTAACTGATATTTCTCTGGAGCCAATGCTTCAAGAACATCTCACCCCTAAAGTGAGCAGGACCCATGCATCTGACACAAGGACTGTGCCTCATGATGGAGAACAGGTAGTGACTGCTGGCCTTCATCAGATACTCCCCACAATGTCCTTCCTTCCTGGCCAAACAGTATCTAGAATTGAAGATGGCTGGGTCTTCAGATGGTTCAAGTAGAGGATGAGTGTATTTGCTAGGCCTCTGTTTTCACGTGGCAACCACCAGACCACTGTCTCAGGGTTTGGGTCCAAGATTACTAACCAGAAATGTTGTGAGTCTTCAGTGTTTACAACTGTTTTGGTATCTCCCCAGGAAATTCTAAAGGAGAATTTAAGGATGTTTGAATTGGTTCAGAAACATCCATCACACTGGCCTCCCTTTATACCTCCAGCCAAGCCAGAAGTGACAACCACTGGGGCAGGTAAGCTATTGTCCAGGAATCTCAGCTAGCAGACCCATGTGTAGCAATTGTTTTATGAGAAAGAAGGAATTGTGGCTCATGCTTTCTGTGGACAGTAAAATTTCTATTCAGCTGGAGTAATAAAAAAGAAAAGGTGCTTCTAGTTATTTTAATCTTCTGATAAACTGATATTTACCAATTTCAAAGAATGATAAAAGAAGAAAATGAGCTCACTGCAAAAGTTCTATGCAAAATCAAGATGGCTAGGATTGCTTTTTCATGGCCCGGTTCGGAGTATCAGTGAGGCCATTGATAATTCAGTGTCCCTTGAAGGGCCTGCAGAGCCTTGGCCACATCACTGCCATTAGGTTTATGTAACAAGTCTGGCTATTTTGAATCTTTATAGACAATTTCTAATACTTGGCAGTAGTTCTAATTGTAAGTCTTCTCCACACAAGTCTTTCTTTAGTAAAACAATTAAAAATGCATAGTCTTAACTACTGAGTAATATATTCATTGACCACTTCAACCCAAGTGTCAAGCTTTTCTTCTTTCTCATTTCTGTATTCTGATAGAATTCATTGACTCTAATGAACAACTGGAAGAGTTGGATCTGGAGGAAGATTTTGAAATTCTGAGTGTGTAGAATCCTGGGAACTCAACTTGGAGGTCTGTCTTCCATCTGGCACCATAAAAACATGAACTTATTACATAAAACTTTAATAGTCAGCAAGTGCCTGATATGCCAATAGCATACAAACTCGATAGCTTTCATGACTGAGCCAATCACTGTTTCTCAGAAAACAAAACAAAACAAAACAAAATGACAGTAACCCTTTCCCAGAAAGAAAGAGAACAATCATGGACCTAGGAGCAGAGGGATAAGGAGAAGTTCATTGCTTCTCAGCTTGTCTTACATGGCTACAGTAAGTCTTCAGCTGCTGCAATGAGGAGATGGATATCTGGAAGACAGACAGCAACTCTCAGCTTGCTTCAAGCACCAGCAGATAAGAGACGGTTAAGCTGTGCTTCTTCACCCTTTCAGGTGTGACCTCTTTAGGACTAAATACTAAGAAGCAATCTATTCTCTTGCTCAAATAATAAAGTGACTGAATCAGGGAGGAAAAGGTTCTTGTTATATTATTTGATTGTGTAGTTTGAGAAATTATAATGTATATCAAAATGTTTGTCAAAGAAATGATGTCAAATATACACTTCTTGATCTCCTTCCTATTTGTGGGAATCTTACTATTTGATGGGTCACTGCCCCCATTCTTACTGATAATTTTGTCAGATGTCACCCTGTCCTTAAATCAAATCATGATCACTTAAATCAGGAGTCAGCAAACTTTTGCTATAAAGGGCCAGACAGTAAATATTTTTTGGGCTTTGCAGGCTATGTGGCCTCTGTCACATCTACTCAACTCTGCTGTTGACGTGCAAAAGCAGCCATAGACAATATGCAAGCAAATGAATGTGGCTGTAATCCAAGAAAACTTTATTTACAAAAACAGGTGGAGGGCTGGGTTTGGGCTACAGGCTGTAGCTTGCCAGTGACTTAAATTGTTGATTTTTGTTTGAGAAATTAAAAATAAATTGTATTTGAATTATACTCTGGTTGGTTGACAGCCATATTTACAACTATTCGTATGGTGAATTACACATTTAAGCTGTGCATCATATACAATTCTAAACTATTTTAGGACTAGCAACATAATAGGTTTTAAAGCATGTGTTCATGAAATTAGCTTCACTAATCACTCTCCTATGAGGATGCACCTCAAGCCCCAGCAATATCTTCCCATTTTCTTTTCTTGCTCCCTTAAGTTGCCTGCATTTGACCCCCATTCTTAGTCTAGTCTCAAGGAAGGCCAGCAACTGGAAGCTAGCACCAAACCAAGCTGCTTGTTTCCTTAGATTCCATGTTTTTCTTTATTCCCCAGCATATTCCAATGGTTCAAAATTCAAAACATATAAAATGATATCCAGTGATTTGTCTCTCTCTGATAGGTCAGTTCACTCCCTTGAAAATTCCGAATGGTATTAATTTCTTCTTTATCCTCCCAGAGGATGTATTTTATACACATATAAATATATGCACACACACTCACATACACACACACTCACGCACGCAGCTTGGACTTGATTTTAGTCTTAATTTTAGAATGACTTTAACATTCTCTTCCTTTGTTTTATCTGCAAAAGATCCTAAGGCCACAGAAGTATGAAAATGCCTTTCTTGAACTCTTTTTTTTTATTTTAAAAATTATTTATTTGTATCAACCTACATCATGCTTTGACATCTTGAACTCTAGTGTGCGACAGGGATAAAAACAGGCATAGGCTTATCTTGAAGCAGGTTATGGGTTTATTGACTGTTAGATGACTGTTTCAGCTCTTTGACTTTGATCATCTTCTAATTTTTTCCTGCCTCAGTGTTTTGTTATAGAGTTCAACTTGGCCGTAACAGAAACCCCTGAGGCTCTGACGGGGGGCTTATAAATTGCAGTGTGATGGACATTAGAAAAATTTTCATAAAAACATCGAAAGAGTCACATGTTCAGATTTCATTTATTTGCTATGTACAAAATTGACACCATGCTTATTACTTAGGTGAAGATAACAGTAATTCAGGTTACACTGATTATGCTTTGTCTGTATTGGCACAGTTTATATAATACTTTAGGAAACAGAATCACCTGGAAGGAATTGCCTCATGTCAACATAGCTGAGTATTCTGGGAAACTGGTAATTAAAGAAAATGGCTAAAACAAATTCCACCAAACAGAATACAATGTACTGCGTAGCCAGCTCAGGTTTGCTTTAGGTTTGCTAACTGCTCAAGAGAAGAGTGTGCTAGATTTTTATGACGTTCTAAACAATAAAATAGTTTAATAGGCTACCTGTGAAAGCGCAATTGGATAACTAACCGTTTAACAGAAAGTCTTTAACATCCTCAGAATACAAGGAGACCAACACTGTGCAGCTTTCGTTTGCCGCATTGCACACATCTGGATGACATTTGGAATAAACAGACTTCTGAGAAACTGGGATGTGGCATTTACCTTTTTGTTCCTGGAGGCAGAAGCTAAATTCACACCTCCTTACCCACCCACCCCTCTACTCCTGGCCCAGGAGAAAAGGTGTCATTCTCATTTCCTTTGATAGGCTTGGCCGCATTTGTTGCATCCTCTGCTCTACTTTGGACCAGGCCAAGTTCTCTGTCTCTGGCTGGAGGGGGAACTGGCAAGGAGGAAGTGCTTTCTCTAGGACCATATGCCATTAATGATCACCACCCCCAACCCAACTGCTGGCCTTCAAGCCTGCCTAAGCCATATGGGGCCCAGTCTTGCTCATTCTGGAGCGAGCTAAAGCTCACCCTGGGCTACTGGCTGGCACCACATTTCAGTTCTCTTGCCTGCCTAGACACAGTAGGCCTCCTTGAACAGTGAGGACTTGCCCTATGTAAACTTGAGCCATCCATGAATGTTCAGTTAGAGAATTTGTTTTAAATGTGGAAACACTGGGTTCTGGTTTAAGCCAAATAATGTGTGCTGACCTCTGGACATGAAGAAATGACTGATTAGCCATTATGAAGAGCGTTCCAGTCAAGACAGTGAGGATAGCTAGTCAAAGAAAGTGGTGGCCCACCAAATCTTTCTGAGGTAGCCATGAATAGTCACACAATCATCCAAATCAAATGGTAGCACCAGCTTGACAGAAATGGGACAGCAGATGTCAGCAGGGTGGGCTCATCTCTGTGGACCTGAGGGCTGGGGTGATCAGTGTCTGGTAGACTAGCCCAAATGAGACTCCAATGTACAACTTGACAGACAGGCAAAGGGACTCAGGACTTCCTTCTTCGGACCATTCAGGTTCGTGAGGTGACTGTTGTGAGGGGCAGAGGAGGGCAAGGGGCAGAGTGGCAGGTGCTGCCCTATAGGCTTTTCATACACACCTGGCAGCGACTTACTCGGGTGTGGAGCTGCCCAGCTTTCAGCGTTTCAGACATAGGCGACTCTCCAAACTGCTGCCTCTCCTCCACTGTAGTCAACCAGAAACTGTACTTGTTTGCAAAGTAGTGGCAGGTGCCTCGGGCACCACTGCACTCGATGAAAGGAGTGGCCCGAAAGTCCTCTAGGCAGGATCCAGGTGAGACCAGGGACTGGCCTCCACCCTCGGCACCAGCGGCAGTGTGCTGAAACAGACAGGAGATAAGTGCATGAACTGTGCCTGCCAAGGGTTGGCATGGGGAGGGGATGGGTGCTCTGCTGCTATAGGCGGGCACATCTCCATTCCTAAGCCCTGGTCCCTCATCTTAGCCCCAGCTTCAAGCTAGCATACCAAGAGGTGTGTTTTAGGGGCAGGGGCTACCTGTCCTCCCTCATAGCAGCTTTCAGGGCCAAGAGTGCCCCCTCCAAGCTCCCTAGTGCCCTCCTAACCCATTATGTAGGGCAATGACTACATGTCAAGCAGAAATTCCCAAAAATACTGTCCCACTGGGTTCAGAGGTGTGTTAGGTACTCCCTTGCAAAATTGCCACAGACAAATGGTTCTGAGAAAGGCTGAGTGAAGGGAAATTTAATAGGCTCTGGACTGCAGTTCTCAGAGCCCTCCCTTAACTGTGCATTGTACTCTAAGAAGGGAAAGAGGGACAGCATGAAATCTATTGCGGTTTTCTTTAATTTGTTGTATTTGGCCCAAAGGTCCTGGCCCTCACCTCGGAGGGCTCCCTCAGCATTCAGTTTCAGGGCTACACGTGAGCTGTGGTCTTCAGTTACTGTTCGCATAGACCGCAGCTCCTGTCTCTTACACTCCTGCCCCTCTCCCTTCACTTTGGGTGGGTATCATCTGGACCACAGGAGATGGGGAAGAGGCCTAACACACAACTGAGTCAGCAAATGGCCAATGGGGCAGATGCCCAAGTTGGCACACAGGGACTCCGTACTTTGCAGAACTTTGCGAGAGTGAGAGTCTCCATGGGGCCTTTCATGTAACCTTTTTTGACAGCTGAAGCATCAAAGCTTTCCTGATTTTGACCCTGAGAATCAAAAACTCTAAAATGCACAACACGTTTTCCTGCTTTACTAAGTAGCAGGCACTAGGTTACTTCGAACTTTGCAGATGAATCAGGCTTGTCATTGTGAATGTCAGTTTTTGTGGGGGATGATTATGTAAGAGCCCCATACCAAGGGATACAGCTTCTAGAACTCTTGGGCCTCCTTTGAATTATTTCCCCCTTTTTAATAAATATGTCTCATTGCTTCAAGATGCCTTGCTAGGCAGTCCAAATTCTCACTCTTCCAAATATTCAGGAGAAATATTCTAGTGTGTTAGAATTAATGTGTAAAGTAAGTAAAGAGATTCTGAATAAGGGCTAAGAGCCCTCCCATAAGCAGAGCATATGAGATTTAGTACAGAGTGTTTCTACCATTTTCTGTGGAAGTTCAGGGGCCTCTCCTTATTTCCTGGTCAGGGTAGTGGACAGGACAGAAGGACAGGTGAAGTGATTCTGTATTACACTGGGCTAAACTGTCCAAAGTCCAAAGACAGAGCATAACAAGGAAAAGTACCTTTCCCCAAGCAGGTATGCTAATGTTGGGGGCCTGAAGCTTTGGTCATTTTTTAGACACTCTCACCATATCACCCTTGGCAATTCAACAGAGAAGCTCTGGCAAGGCAGAGTACTCCAGTGGGTGCCACACTGGTTTTCCCTGGAGGCTGACTTGACCCTGACATGGGGTCATGTATTTGAAGAAACATCCCCAGGTATACACAGGATATTATGTGAGGGACCTGATGTCTCTTTGGGCTTGCAAAAGTCCTTTTTCTTAGCAAGACACACTGCATGGCTGGCCGCTGCCTTGCCACTGAAATGGAGAGGCAGCAAAAATACCAGCAATGACATATAAACACAGCATACACTCATCAGAGCCTTTTGGGAAGAGATGGCAGAGGCCAGAGGGATCTGGAAGGGTGGAGAGAAGAGGGGACTGTGCCATGGCTGGCCTAATTAGTGAGGTTGTGTCCTGGCCCCGAGTGGGGACAAACTGTCCTTCACTGTCCTCCCAGATCATAGTGTGTTTTGCTCTTACCTTGGGAGTGGCATAGCTGACACAGACATAGAGATGGTGGGACATTGACCGGTGACTCACATATATTCTAGCCCCTGAACCACTGAGTGCAAACTGCTGTCTTTCCTGTACACCCATAACTACCTGCCACTCATGCAGACTTGGGTTCTCCATTCTTTAAACAAGCCCAGGCCGCACATTTCCATTCTTTTCAAACTCTGTGCTTTCCACTTGGTGTCCCTTGAGCCTGGGAACCAGTCCAAGCCCTTTGTCTCCAACTGGGAGAGGGGGCAGTGCAGGACCTTACCATGAGGAAGGAGTATCCGATCCAGAGGCTGCGCCAGCCCAGGGGGCACTTTGGGATGGTGATGTCCTGGCTGTGCACAGCAATGGCTTGTGATGGCGCCTCACACACAGAGCAGCGGCTGATGTACTGGGCAATCTGGGTCTGGCCGACGGGCATCATGGGGATAGGGGCGGTAGTGGAGAGCCAGTAGGATTTATCATTGCGCCTGGCATAGTGGCACACCTCGTTGATGTTGCAGTAGATGAAGGGCATGGTGCTGAAGCGGGGCAGACAGGAGCCAGCAAAACCTAGAAGGAGAGAAAGTGGGCAAGGGCAGGGAAGGTCTGGCTGAGGGGCTTTGACCAGATGGTGGTTTGAGTTTACATCCAACCACTTGCACCAGACTGGGGCAGCCCTCTCCTTCCAATCCTGTAACACTGCACATGCTGAAGTGTATTGATCAAATTCTATTTTAAATGCACCAGGGAGATTTGATAATAACAAGAATCTTTTTATAAACTGTATTATTCCGCCCTAATTAATCTGCTTTGAAAGAAACAGCATTTAATAGACTGAGTCTGCTTTTAAGATTTAGCACATCTGCAGACAACACAATTAATTCTCAGGTAATCATCATTGCCCTGCGGGCCATATTATTATTACTACTACTACTAATTGCTAATATTTAATGGATGCTTAAATGTCAAATGATGCTCTAAGCATTTTACATTGCGTGATTAATTCATGCAATCCTTCCACCAACCTGTGTGATAGGTACTAGAATTAGCCTTCCTTCATTAAGGAGGAAGCCAAAGCTTAGAGAGGTTGAATAACCAATGCAGTGTACACAGCTAGTAAGTGATAGAGCCAGGATTTGAACCCAGATCCACCTGACTCCAGAGTTGATGCTTGTAACTCTACATAGCAGTGGACCTAGAAAGGGCTGGAAGAAGAGAGAGGTTGGCTGTTGGTGTTTGTGGAGACAGGTCACCAGGGCTGCGTGTCAGAGCCAGTACTTACCCAGGTCCTGGTTGTGGGCTTTCTCTTGTCCCTCCACGAACAGTAAGCTGTACCCCACCCACAGCTGACTCATCCGGATGGGACACAAGGGCACCTGTTCCGACTGGCTGTGCTTTACCAACGTGTAGCCCACTCTCACGCTCTGGCCAGGCATTCCAGGCATCCCGAAGGGGCCTTGCTGCCCTGGAGCTCCTGAGAGAGACACAGCATAGGTGAGTGTGGTGCAGCTAGTGATAACATCAGCTACTCACATTGTGCCACGCATTGTGCAAGGCATGTCATACACATGTGTTCTCTCACTCAATCCTCACAATGACCCTGAGAAATGGTATTACCACCTCAATTTTTAGATGAGGAAATTGAGGCTCAAATGTCTTACAGCTATTAAGTGGTAGAGCTACAACTCTATCTCAGATGTATCCAGCTACAGAGGCCCCACTTTTCAAAGTACATTGTTAAGCTTCTTTCCTATAGCCACCTGGCCTTGGGGTCTCTCTGAGTGGGGATTAGGGTGTGGAGAGGGACACTTCTCAGGTCCAGCCTTGCAGGCCCTCATAGGAGGTAACTATGTAGCTGCTGATTCAGAGGCATGGGAAGCAGAGTTAGGCTTAGCAGGGTAAAATATTTCCCTCCTCTCCTGCCCATGACAGACATGACTAATCAATTGCCACAGTTTCCCACTGAGCCTCTGAGCTCTTCTCTAGTCAGGACAACTTTGTCATCCGTGATATAAAGTGGGACATAAATAGAAGAGGTATATGGACAGCCACACACTTGAACATCCCCCTCACATGTGTCAGAATCCCTGGGTAGAAAAGGGGAATTACAGGGCAGAGGGCCATCTGTAGTATAAAGTCTGACCTTTTAAGCACTGGAAGAGAGCCCAGAAAAGGATTTGGAACAGTCCTTTGCCTTCCAGAATGTAGGGCATCCCTTCACAGGCTCAGAGGGTAGTGGGGAGTGAATGGACTTAGAGCCTAGTTTTTGAGCCTCTTAGGAGTGTCAAGCTCTACCACAGGGTTTACTAAGTTTCAGACTTGAAGTTTTACTAACACCCTAGCTTCAAATCCTCCCAGAACCCCCCTGCCCCCAAATGTGACATCATCAGACCTTCAAATCCTGGAGGGCCTTGCAGTCCAGGCAGACCAGGATCACCAAGAGCCCCAGGTGGGCCTGGGAGCCCATTGGGGCCATCTTTGCCAGGGACACCAGATAAACCTTTGAAGCCTGTGGGAGAGAAAGCCCAAATGAGGGTATTTGTTGTAGAGGCGCCTTCCTCAGGAAAGGGGAGTTGTGTGTCATACCCAAGACTTGCTAGGAGATGGTGCACTGGCAGTTGATTTGGTGTGCTGCCTGGGCTAGTTCTTAGTTCATGGGGGCATCTCTGCCCTGGAGCAGTGCCCTCGACTTAGCCTTTCTGGGCCCATTCATGCCCACTTCCTCCTCCTTTCTTCTCATCCTCCCAGCAACACTGGAAATTATGCAGGGCAACTACAAGCATCCCATATCAAAAATGAGAACACTAAGGCTGGGTGCGGTGGCTCATGCCCATAATCCCAGAACTTTGGGAGGCCGAGGCAGGCTTAAGTCAGGAGTTTGAGACCAGCCTGACCAACATGGGGAAACCACGTCTGTATTAAAAATACAAAAATTAGCTGGGTGTGGTGGCATGCACCTATAGTTCCTGCTACTCAGGAGGCTGAGGTGGGAATATCACTTTAATACCGGAGGTGGAGGTTGCAGTGAGGTGAAATGGCACCACTGCACTGCAGCCTGGGTGACAGAGCAAGTCTCCATCAAAAAAAAGGAGAAGAGGACACCAAGACCCAGAGAGACTTCTAACTTACTCCAATTGTGGCAAAGCTTGCCAGGTTTTCTGTCCCCAAGCTTTAGAGTTTCTTCATTGTCTCCTGTGGCCCTTTATTCACCACCACACTCCCTCCATCTCCCTGCAGCACGTTAGAGAGAGATGAGTGGTCTGGAGCGGCCTTGAGAGGGTGGCCTTGCTCTGCCCTCACATCCTCTAAAGTCAAGTACCAAGTACAACCACCACCCTGCTGGTCCTGCTGGTCCTGCTGGTCCTGCTGGTCCTGCTGGCCCTTCTTCTCCCCAACAGGAAGCATGGGAGCTTTGTGAAGGAACAGAAGCAATGCTTGATGAAGGCACACCCTTGGAGATGGATGTCCAAGCCAGCCTCTCAGCCAAGCTGTCTCAATTCCCCAAGAAATCTCCTTTCTCTGGCACCCTCCTCACCTTTTAGGCCTACAGGGCCTTGAATCCCAGGGTCCCCAATGAGGCCAGGGATGCCATCTATCCCTGGTAGACCCAAGGGTCCGGGAGGAACCTGGACAGCTTCTGTAGTTGGTGTTTGTCCAGGAGCACCTTGGGGGCCGGAAGAGCCTGTTGGCAGGTGGGGGAAATGAGAACATCAGGCTGAGGCAGAGGAGGTCAGGGCGGGGGTGGGGCCCCAGAAGCATTCTTTACTGTCTTGCAATCAACAGCTTTCTACCCTGTTTGTCCCCGCAGGATATCTGGATTTCTCCAGGATGGCACTGTGTGTATTACCCAATACCTTCTTTATACATCTTTCTCCCCAGTGGTTGGGTAGCTCCAGGAGGGCAGCAGAAACTGGGTCATATTTATCCTGCCTCCTCAGGACCCAGCACAGGGCCCAGTGGGTGACAGGCATTCAGGAAGCATTTGCTGCTAATATGGTGAGCTGAGCCTTGGCTCAGGGCTCGGGTAGCTGGTTTACCACTAGCTAGAACACAGTGCCAAGGAGGCTGAGGGGATGCTTCTAACCTCAGAGGTTCAGTTGGCATCCCAGCCTAGGAACCCGGCACCAGGCAGCTGCCTTTCCAATAGTGTAATTTGCTTACTAAGTCAGTGAACAAGTATTTCTCCAGTGCTTACTATATGCCAGGGTCCTGGTAGGTCTGCGGATAGAGCAGTGAATAGGACAGACATTTATGGAGACTATAGTCTGGTGATAAAGATGAACAATGCCTAACTCCACAAATACTGTTAATCTGAGTGGAAGTTGGGAGAAATGCTGTGGAGGAAAGGACTAGCACAGGGACAGTGGGAGGGAGCAGAGGGTGGTATGGGGTGGAGGCATCTGTTTTAGAGAGTGATCGGTGGCCTGTTGCAAGCAGTGGCATTTAAACCGAGACCATTGAAACATTAGAAGGACTTTGCTATTTAAAGAGTAGAGGGGCAAGTACACCCTGGGAGGTAGAAGTAGCATGTGCGAAGGCCCCATGGTAGGCCGGGACTTGGTGTTTTTGGATAACTGAAAGAGGCCAGTGTGGCAGGATCACAGTGAGCAGCAAAGGGGAAGGGATGGCGATGAGGATGAAGAAGGAGGCATCACATAGGGCTTTATGGGCACGGTTAGTTCATTCCTATGCCATGGGAAGCCACTGGATAATTTACGTTTTTATAAGCTCTGTGTGGAAAAATGATTGCTAGGGTGGGGGAAGGAAAGATGCTGCATGAGAACTCTTGGTGGCTTGGATCTGGGGATAGCAGCCGAGGTACTGGGAGGGGAACAGATGCAAGGCACGTTTAGGAAGTACAAGCGTCAGGGCTTGCTAATAGATTGCATGTGTGTGAGTGGGGGTGGGAAAGGATGGGAAGGATAGCTCTTTATTTCTGAATTGAGCAAATGGGTGGGTGGTTATCTGAGTGCAAACCCAATGCCCACTAATGCAGAGATAACACAGAGAGAGGCAGTCAGCAGCAGGATCCATGGTGGCAAGGCAGCAGTGGTCTTCAGTCCTGGGAGGTGATAGAAGCTGAAGGATCCCCAAGGTAGAGAAACTGCGTCCTTGGGGGAGCTTGATCCAGCTGCTTCAGGCATCCAGATTTGCTTGGTGTGGTGAGCAATGACTCCCGAAGGAACCTTACCACCAGGCCCCTCCCTTGAGCTCTGGATCAGCCCAGCACATGATCTCAACTTACCTCTTGGCCCAGCCTTCCCCTTCATCCCGGGAAATCCTGGGTCTCCAGGTGGCCCAACCTTGCCTGGAGTCCCCATGAAGCCAGGCTCACCTCTCATGCCTGACAAAGTCCAAAGGAAACAAGTCGGGTCCTGGCATGGTAGGGGTGGTAGGGGTGGAGGATAGGCAGGGGTGAGGTAGGGAAGAGCATCAGCCACTGGCCCCTTTTCACAGGACAGTAGGAAGGAGTCCTGGCTGTGGAGTGGGGAAAGGCCTGGCAGCCAGCCAAGTAGCCGTACCTTTCAGTCCTAGCTCTCCAGGGAGGCCAGAAAAACCTGGAATTCCTAGGTCTCCCTTAGGCCCCTGAGGTCCAGGAATTCCAGGGAAGCCAGGGTCTCCAGTGTCACCTTGATTCGAGGATGGCCCAGGGGGACCTGGGGCCCCAGGGGGGCCTAGGCGGCCTAGGGATAAGATTAGAAGAGGGGCAAGGGACAGGTGAGCAGGTAGTGGCCACTGCTGAAGGCCTAGGGACTGATAGGATGCCAAAGCCCATTCCCAAAACAGAGAATGTTCCCTCACCATCTGTGGGGTTCTAGTGCCCAGATTTTCCCAAACCATTTTTAGCAAAATGCACCCAGCTCTAGTCCCCTGTGTCCCAGCTAGGGGAGGGATGTGAAGTCAAACACACCCAGGCGTGTCCAGCATCAGGGACTTGGCTGCGCTGTACACATGACTTCCCCAAATGTCAGATAAAAATGGTGGCCAGTCCTCTTTTGGGCATCCTGTGTTTACCTCGTTCTCCATCTAGGCCTGGTCGCCCAGGGTCACCAGGCTGTCCTGCTATGAGTGAGGGCAAGGAGATGCCTGGGGCACCAGGGAGACCAGCAGGGCCCTGGAGACCGGGGAAACCTGCAAAGAATAAATAAAAGGGGCTGGATAGGCTCCGTGTGCCGGGAAGATGGCCAGGCTCTCAGAGAAAATGGAAGCTCACACAGAGAAAATGGAAGCAGATAGGTAGGAGCCAGACCAGAGAACGCCAGCAGAGGGCTCTTCTTCCCTCATCCTTTCTTCCCAGAAAGCAGACAAAGGAAACTGACAAGGGCTCAGAGCATCCCCTTTTCCAGCTAAAGCTGTATTTTACTGGAAAGTTCTAGCTCCCCAACCTCACTGGTAACGGAAATATTTTAGGCCAATTTCCCCCAAACCAGAAAGAAAAGAAGGCATGACTGAGCACCTGGACTTTTAAGTTTCCAAAGTGATTTAAAACCTACTGTCTGTGTCAAAAAACATTTCTTAAGTTAGCCAGTTGTGTCTGAGGCTGCACAAAGGTTATAGAAGGTAGGCCACAGGCCCCAGCCAATCAGAACAGACACCAGGCCCATCAGAATGGAGGCATCAAGAGTGCTATGCCTCTGTGTCTTTTAGGGCTATCTTCTGCAATTTCTAGGCAAACTAGAAAACAATATTTTATAGGTCATTCATGATATGAACCAAGCGATTGCTTAATCGCCTATGTAACAAATGTCTCTGTATTAAATCCCTCCTACCTTTTTGGCCAAAGAGAATAACCACTTATTACAGTAGATATAGAATACTCATTTGCTCTAATTTTAATATTGCTTAACATGTTTTCAGTTTGTGGAACTATTTCTATTGTAATATGTTCAAAACCAAAACTTCCATCTGATCACACAGATTTATTTAATGTTCGCAGATTAAATACATAGATGGTAATCTTGACAGGAAAACACAAATGTAGGTGTTGATATCATACATGTAGCATGGAAGAGATATATTTATTACTTTGGGATAGTCTAGAAGATATTCAAATGAAGATAAATGGATTCAAACTGGTTGATAAACTGTTCTGATGGTTGAGATTCTTAATTTTTGTTTGCGACAAGAAAATCCAAAAATGTTAATGTCGAATTTTATCTTTTGTGACAAGAAAAATACAAAAATATTCATGCTGAATTTCTCATATTAATATAAAACATACTAAATACATGAAAATTTATAAAAATGCTGGTAGCTTGGTCAATTCCAGTGTTTTTAGATAGCTCATTAATTAATTGAATCTTGAAATTTATACGAGGAAAATATAAACTTTGAGAAAAGTCTGTAGGTCTCTTAGGTCTGGAAAAAAATAAACACAAATTGAAAAATAGTAGCTAAGCCAGGTGGTGGTACTCATGGCATTGCTACTTATGGTTTGGTGAACCTTTGAAAGATTTTTCTTTATTCCCAGGGTAAAAATCTGAAAAGAAAGACATTTTGAATACTCTTTTTGAAAATATAGCTATACACATATATTATGTATATATAGTTTACATATAGCTGAAACTATGCAAAACTAATAAACAAGACACCACATGTGTAATAGAGTAGGCAGTGGTGGGCAGTACACAAATTATAAAAGTTAGCATGGCAGTGTTTGGAGACTCTTTCTCCCTTTACCTGTTTCTTGATTTTATAGTTACACTTATGTGTTATTAAACCTGAAATAAAGGCACTACTGACTTCAAGTAGTGCAAAAAGCTCATGCATTTCTTTAAAAATAAAACACTTTAAGGCCGGGCGCGGTGGCTCAAGCCTGTAATCCCAGCACTTTGGGAGGCCGAGGCGGGTGGATCACGAGGTCAACAGATCGAGACCATATTGGTCAACATGGTGAAACCCCGTCTCTACTAAAATTACAAAAAATTAGCTTGGCACGGTGGTGCGTGCCTGTAATCCCAGCTGCTCGGGAGGCTGAGGCAGGAGAATTGCCTGAATCCAGGAGGCCGAGATTGCGGTGAGCCGAGATCGCGCCATTGCACTCCAGCCTGGGTAACAAGAGCGAAACTCCGTCTCAAAAAAAAAAAAAATAAATAAATAAATAAATAAATAAAAAATAAAATAAAACACTTTAAATGAGCAGATGAAAATGCAAAACAGCCGTTTTTCCAATTCAGTCCAGCGTCAAAGCCTTGAAAAAACAAAATATATAAACGCAGCCTCTAAATATTTAGTGCAAATATGAAAACAAATAGCATCATTGAAAGTTATTTAGATATTAGTATTGTAAGGAGAGGGATTGCTCTATGAAGTTTTTCATTTGTTAGTTTGTTTGAGACAGGGTCCTGCTCTGTTGCCCAAGCTGGTGTGCAGTGACATGGTGAGGGCTCACTGCAGCCTCAACGTTCCAGGCTCAAGTGATCATCCCACTTCAACCCCCTGAGGAGCTGAGACTACAGGCACACACCACTATGCCCTGCTAATTTTTGTATTTTTTATAGAAATGGGGTTTCACCATGTTACCCAGGCTGATCTCCAACTCCCTGGCTCAAGCAATCCGCTTGCCATGGCCTCCATGCTAGGATTACAAGAGTGAGCCACTGCACCGAACCACTCTATGACATTTCCTTAGGAGTAAATCATCATATTGCAGTGATTCCCATTGTCAAATAAAAGATAGGTTCCTTTGGGGTGGGGTGGAGTGGTATTATATTCTCTTTTTTATTTTTTTGAGATGGAGTCACCAGGTTGGAGTGCAGTGGCACAATCTCAGCTCACTGCAACCTCTGACTTCCTGGTTCAAGTGATTCTCCTACCTCAACCTCCTGAGTAGCTGGGATTACAGACATGAGCCACCACACCCAGCTAATTTTTGTATTTTTTTTTTAGTAGAGACGGGGTTTCACCATGTTGGCCAGGAGGGTCTTGATCTTCTGACCTCGTGATCCGCCTGCCTCGGCCTCCCAAAGTGCTAGGATTACAGGCGTGAGCCACCGCGCCCAGCCATTTCTTGTACTCTTTTTAAATAAATTGCTTCAATTAGAGATTGAGAGGATATGACATAATATTTATAATATTACGCAAAGAATAATTCAGATACAATGAACACTGTGTTTCAACCACTTAATTTAAGAAGATGGCACTTGTTTTGAATTTTCTTTTGTGTCCTCCACTCCCTTCCCTCCCTCTCAGAGGCAATCACTCCTGATTTTTGTTCATCATCTTTCTTCAGTTTGACCAGGTATATCTCCAAACAATGTAATGGTGGGTTTTGCTCAGTTTTGAACTTTATGGAATCATACCAAATGTACTCCTTTGTGACATGTTTGTTTTTTGCTTAGAGCTATGTTGCTGAAACATATCCTTCTTGACCTGTGCTGTTTACTACATTTGTAATTGTGATTTTATTATTTCAGATAGCTAAAGAAAATGAATAATCTAATGACTGTCAAGATTTGAAAACAAAAGAAAATGCCCCTGTGCTTTTATCCAGTCCTCTCTTCCCTATGTCCTGTGAAAGAAGACACAGTCTCTGGGCAGGTTCAGGCCCTGCTTTGAGCCCTTCCTCTGGAGAAGCTGCTGGCTTTCAGAAAAGAACAGTCTGGTCCAGATCAAAGGGAAGAAGGAACACAGAAACAACAGATGCATCCATTTAAAATGCAACAGGAAATGAATTAATGTATGAATATAGTTCCTGGGAAATATACACACATTACACAAACGTGCACACTAACAAAATGCGGTGAGACCTCAAGCCCCAGAGCAAAGAGAAACAGAAAATTTTGCAAATATGATTTACCCAGGTAACATGCAATAATATTCTTAAGTATATACTATGTGCCAGGCACTGAGCTTCTGTATATCTTACCTCTCTCTTCATTGATTCCTCAAAAAACCTATGAGGTAGGTTCTGATATTATGTTTGTTTTATAGAAAAGGAAAACTAAGGGCTCATTTGGGATTGAGAAACAAGTAATTCCTTGTTTAAAGTCATAAGCCAGTGAGAGGTACGGCTGGAATTTGGACCCAGCTAGTCTGATTTCATAGCCCATACTCTTAACCATGATGCTATGCTGAATTCATTTCCTGGTTAACATGGAGTGGAATGTATACAGGTTTTTGGAACTTTCCTGAGGAAACGTTGAAGAACACAAATCATTCTTACTTTTTGAGAGGTGGGGAAAAGGACTCAAAAAGGGACTTCAGGCCACGTGATGACTCAGGGGCTGAGATCAGGGCAGAACCTGCTTTCTAGTAAACCCAGCAAATTCTAGTTGAGGGCATGCTGTGATCCTGTCCAGCTGAGACATTTATCATCTTAGTCTTGGGATTCTCCCAGCAGCCACACTGTCTTCCCAGGGCCTTGGGCGTGCCATCCACACTGGACACTGAGGAAATGCCAGCCAACCTCTCATTAAATGAACAAGCCCTGGCCCTCAGGGCCACTAATTCCAAGCTCTGGCCAAGCATGCCAGAGAGGCTTGTGGTTAGTAAGGAAGAGCAGAAGGGAATCTGGAGGCTAAAATGGACTTGGTGAACTGTGCCCTGACAGTCTTCACTGGAAAATGTTAAGCACAGCGTATCCTCTCTTTCTCAGCAGTCATTCCCACTGGGTTGTGAGACTCCCAGAGATGAGAAGACACTCTCAGCCTAACCCTGTGAGCCACATGGCCCTGCCGTATCTGTTCCACCAGCAAGGCCTCTCTCAGTCTCTACAAGGCCTGACTTGGACTCACCTCGATCACCTTTTTGCCCTCTCTGGCCTGGCTTCCCTGGAGCTCCGATGCCAATTCCTGGATTTCCTTTTTCTCCTTTGGGTCCAGGGATACCAGCAGGCCCAGGCACACCGGTGATACTAGGTCCTAGGAGGAGATGCAGGGGTAGGGGCAGACCTCAGTGGAGGTGAGGGCTTCCTACCTAGCTCACTTGCCTGAGGCCTGAGAAGCCTGACTGACAGATACCAGAGGCAGAGAACTGAAGTAACAAGAAAGAAAGTTAATTTGAATAGAAGGAAAAACCCCATCCTCTTTGTTCTCCATATCAAGGGACCTCAAATTGGAGGCTGATAAGGAGAGCTATGAGTCCAAGGATATGGGATACACCACAGTCCAGCATTCATGGCCAGCCCTTGCCAGGCTTCTGGGAGAGCTGGTGCCCTCCTCTTCACCCTGAGGGTCTTCCTAACCTGGAGTGCCATGGGTACCCTTGGTGCCTGGAAGCCCATTCAGTCCATGTAAACCAGGAAATCCAGGGAAGCCTGAGGGGAGAGAATGTCAAACATGGCTCCAGCAACTCTGAATCATGAAGCATCAGCCAACCTGACCCCAAAGGCATTGCGAGGTCCTTATTTTAAAGTCCTGGTCTTTTTTGAGGCATTTACTTAATGCACTAAGGGAGAAGAAAACATCCACAACCTATACCCTGCACCCTAGGTTCTCATGACTCTTATCAGGGACCAATACAGCTTTAAGAGTAGGATGGTAGCTCATTAGGTATCTTGAAGAACTCCGAGCAGCAATGTCAAGACCTTGAGTGGTCAGCTCCCAGAGACTGGTTCCAGAAACTGACTGCCCAATCTCTAAGTCAGGGAAAGGCCACATATGCCAAGGCAATTGCCTTCCTTGCTAACTCTTCTCTTCATGGATACCATATTCTTCTCTTCCCACTCATGCTTGCTTGCCTTCATTTCATCTTCCTTTCCCATGATTCCTTGTGTCCAGTGATTCCTGTAGGCATGGCTTAACCTTAGCTAGTATCTTCTAAGATAAAGTAGTTAGTGTCCTTCACTGTCTACGCCCAAATACACTTACCTTTGGGTCCTATTAATCCAGGGAGTCCCGGAGGCCCAATTGCCCCTTGATGACCAGAAGAACCTGGAAGTCCTGGTTCTCCTCTGATGCCTGTAGTCCCTGGAAATCCTAAATGTGAAACCAAGGCAGAGGGTCAGAGTAGGGCATGACGTGAGGCTAATCCAACGTCTTTCAGAATAAAGGGATCATGTGTACCTGGAGCTCCAGGAAGGCCAACATCTCCAGGAACACCAACTTTTCCATCTTTGCCTTTGTTTCCAGGGAAGCCCATGTTTCCTATTAGTCCATCTCTTCCTTTTGCACCTATAAAACCAAGAAAAATGCTGAGTGATTATGCCATATTTCTAGCAGTATATTCCTCCATGGGAAAGAGTAGATTCTAAATTGCTGAAGGAGCTAAAGCTAATAAAGAAACTCTGAAGAAGATAGTGGCAGCTATTTTAACATTAGAAAGGTATCCTCCACATTGAGAAGCAAGTAAATTTGTTATGAGTATCCCCCAGAAGTGGGAGTAGTCAGTGGAAATGTTTGAGAAGGACAGTTTAGATAACAACTTCTAAAGTAAGGGGATGTAGGCCACTATCACAAAGAGCTTTGCCAGCCTAGGAGCCTGGAAGGAAGAGTAGGCTAATTTACTTGGGGAATCGATAGATAGGACATTTTCTGCACTGGATAGAAGCTGCAGAAGCTGGGATTGACGTCCAAAATCCCTTCTAATCCTCAGTTTTGAGGAGTCTGTGAGGCAAACAAGACAAAATATAGCAACCTTACCTTTAAAACCAGATTCACCAGGTTGTCCCTTAAGTCCTGGGCTACCGGAAATTTCAAGTGTCCGGCCATTGTCTCCTGAGGATTCCAAGACATTGTTTAAATGACCAGGGGAAGCTATAGCTCATTTTGCACCACTGAGATCTTTTGAACAAATTTTTTTTTCACATTCAGTGTAGCCAGAGGAGCTCCTTGACAAAATTATCTATGGTGTAAAAGGTGATGAATTCAGGAGCTGGGAGGCTGCTACCAGGCTACTGGCATGAAATGCTGCTACATGCAGCATATCTCCACTGGAAAGCACATCACTAGGCTCACTATGGGCAGAGATGATACTAGGCAGGGCCCTCAAACATCACCAGAATGGAACAGTGATGCCAGGAAGAATGGAGAATTTTCCTGCCTAGTGGGCTGGGTTTATCAAAGGAAGAGACTGGAGCTGAGGTTCTCCTCTGCTGTTAAATCTGGAAAGCAGATGGGCAAAACCCCAAAGCCAAAGGACAGCCTCTTCCTTGGATCCATGAAAGCCACAGAGCGAGATCTTGGTAAGTAACCCTGTTTGTTGCACTGTCTTTGAGGAACAAGGACTGCAGAGGGGGGTTTCTCAAAGGGAAAATGTAAATTAATTCACTTTCCCCTAAACACAGTCTCCTGGCTACCTTTCACAAGAGACCATTGGGTCTGCTAGAAATCCACCTTGCTTTAGAAAAACACATTAAAAGAAACAAATGCTCCTTACCTTTCAGGCCCGGGAGACCAGATGCTCCTGGGAGTCCAGGTGACCCTCTGATACCTTGTGAACCCTTCAAAGCAAGATGGGAATCATCATTTCTGCCCAGAACTCAGGGCTGTCCATGCTCTTACTCCCTCACCCCTCACTAAGCCATTGCCTGAGAGATGTCTATCATGTATTTTGTGGCAGGGGTGGACTGTGGACCAGAAGTAGGGTCGTTATACCCTGCAAATGGGAACGTGATGAACAAAGGGCACAGCACATACTTAGGGTTTGTAGGGGAAGGATTCGATCTGCAGACTAATCCTCATCTTGTCATTCACAACTTCCTACTGCTCATCAAAATGGGAATCTTAGGAAGTCAAAGTGTGGCCGTTCTAGTGAGACTCTTGGAAAATACAGAACATGACAGTTAGGCTAGACACTCTATGGACTCAATACACAGTTGAGTATCACTGTCCTTGCCAAAGCTCTGGAGCCATTATGCATAGGACGAAGTTTGGCTTCACTATGCAGGGTTAGCCCTCTGCCACAGGTTCCGCATGGAACACAAGATCTTTCTACCACCAGGCAGCAGACTGTATGTGCGCAGGTGCTAGAGTCTGAATTTGGGCAAATGTTACCATTTTCAGAAGAAAAGCTGCCTTCACTGGCTAATGTCCAACACACTATCTGAGCCTGGGAAGTGGCCATGACAGCTGCCATCAGCACAGTTCTCTTCTTGATATTTGCTACAGTTTTGGTTTATTTTGAGATGTACCCAGTATCCAGTAAAGATATATGCAACTTAGTGCTTTGGGCAGGAGGCTGAGTACTAGGCTGGGTCACTGTGTGCACTGGACCACTACCCAGGACACCCTTCCATTGTGGCTGCTTCCTTGCCTGGCTTCATCAGGCACATTGCCATTATCTCCTAATTCTGAGCCTCTGTTCACACTGGGACTCCTTCCAGAATGCACTCCCACTTTGTTTTCATTCCCCTAGAATGTAAGTAGTCAGGACTATCCAGTCTAGAACTATTTATTTTCAATTGCTTCAGGTGTGTGTGTGTGTGTGTGTGTGCGCGCGCGTGCATATGTGTGCACATGCATGTTCTCTCCACCAGATGGACTGACAACTTTTGAAGTTCAGGGACTTTGCCTGCAAGGACCACAGGCCTTCTGTGATTCAATTCATTGACATCCTTAGATACAGCTGCTATTTATGCAGAGCTGGCCATGTGCCAGACACAATGTCAAGAGCTTTACCTGTGTCATGTCACTTAACCCTCCCTACTGTCTGAAGGTGATTTAAAGATTATTCCCAATTTTTACAGATGAGGAAAGTGAGGTTTAGGTAAGGTAAACAGTATGCACAAGATCACAGAGCTAATGAGCAATGGAGCTGAGTTTCAAATCCAGGTTGGTCTCGTTGCTAAGCCACCTCTTCCACCTTGCCTTGTAAGAAGCTAGACTTGATTCTTTGCTAGTCGCTGCCCCTTGTGGAGCTTCAAAGACCTTTCTAGCAAGACATCAAGAAGTTTTTACTCAATTCTTACAACGTGCCAGGCTCAACATGAAATGCTGGCAGTGGGGTACAGAGAAAAAAGAAGGCAAGGTAGTTCTTGTTTTCAAGCCCTAACAATCTCATTGAGGAAGTCAGACACACACAGAGACAACTAGAATTGATGTCAGCAGTGAAGTATAGAGTGTCAGCATGGTGGGAGCTCAGGGACTCCTGGAGGAGATGGTTCCTGGGCTGGGGCCTGAAGGGCAGTAGATATTGGATAATTGCAAAGGCAAGAGAAGGATCTGCCATGTTGGGGAGATGTGAGCAAAAGAACAGAGGGGGAGATCTTCAGGAAAGGGTGGGAAGATCTGCCAGGCTCAAGGAGAGAGCTCTTTCTGAGGATGTCCTGGGAGAAGGGTCTGAAAAGTAAGCTGGGATCAGAGAGGTGGGCAGTGGGGATATATCCCCCTGAGATGGAGGGCCTTTTCTGGTGGAAAGACAAAAATCTGGTCATACTAACACTTTCTCCTGGCATTCCTGGGAAACCTGTGATCCCGGAAGACCCCTTCAGGCCAGGTAAGCCCTGGATTCCCATGAAGCCAGGGGGCCCTGGCTTTCCACTAACTCCTTTGATAGTGCCTGGCAGGCCGGGAGCTCCAGGCAGGCCTGGTGGCCCAGGTCGACCAGCCTCTCCTTTGTCACCTGTAAAAGAAATAAAAAGACTTGGAAAAAGGATGCTGGGCAAGAAAAATCCTGATCGTGAAGGTGCAGGTATCCTAGGTCACAGGTCAAGTGTAGGCTCAGGGAGCCATTAGCTTGAGGGCAGAGGTGAAGTAGGGAGAGATGCTTTCAGCCTTATGAGGCACCAACAGGGCCGCTTCAGCTCCAACACTGGGAAAGCAGCACAGTGCTCAGGCTCCTCCAGGGGTACCACTGCCTGTGGTTGAAAACCTCAGTTCTACAGTGGCAATGACAAATGGCAGTCTCAAAATCCAGGCAGCCTTCAGGCCCAGAGGAGGCAGCCTTTTTGGACTCCCTGCTGCCAGGCACACTGCTGCCCTAGAGGTGGGGATGGTGGGGGGCTGTACTTCAGGGTCTTTGCTCGGGAAAGAAGCCAGGTTTGGTTGTGAAACCTTTCTTGGGTATTTCTCCTATCCATTCCCTGCTCCAGCACCTCTAGGCCCAGGAAATCCATCGGATCCTGCTGAGCCTTGAGAGCCTTTGTCTCCTTTTAACCAAAGGTTTGACATTGGATGTCTTGGACTAGGTATTCCGACTGGCCCTGGATTGCCTCTGTCTCCTGCAGGGATAGAGATGAGTGTGAGAAAGAGAGCTTAGATTCAGGGTCAGGCAAAGGCTGACCTTTCACATCATTTCTTCCCATACCACCACGGCCCTTTTTTGGGGCCTTTCCACCCTATTCCCCCAACTTTGCATTTCTGTGTATGTCCTTTTCTACACATCCCAAGTCCATCAGCAACTTTAGACTCTACTTAAAACCCTCCACCACTGGTCATCTGGGAATGGACACACACGGCTTCTAACATGCAGTGTTAACTCAGAGGGGATTAGGTCTTTTGGTTGAAAATGATTGAATTCAGAAGCCCCAAATTTTATTATCTAACATGGAGCTGATACAATCCACAAGAATGACCAAGTCAACAACCAAAATATATATATTGAAAAGATGGGCAGCAAGCTCCAGAATTCAATTCCCCATCTCACCCTTTTCACCAGGAGTACCAGGGTGTCCAGATTGTCCAATTTTTCCTGTTGATCCCGGAATCCCCTTTAAACCTCTTGCTCCGGGAATACCAGGAAAACCTGGCATTCCTGGAAAACCCAAGGATCCAACAGACCCCTTCTCTCCTGTTGTAAAACAAGAACTTCTATTATTACTCCCATTTTACATACAAGGAAATGGAGGGTCAGAGAGGTTGAGTAACATGCCCAAAGTCAACAGAGAAGGAATTCAAACCCAGGTTTCTCTAACTCCAAAGTCTTAGTCATTACCAAGCTCTTATTCATTACACATTATGCTATCTTCCTGAATAGGGACAGGCACTATACAATACAAAGGAAAGAAGTGGGCCCCTCTTGGCTGGGCGTAGTGGCTCACACCTGTATTCCTAGCACTTTGGGAGGCCGAGGTGGGTGTACCACCTGAGGTCAGGAGTTCAAGGCCAGCCTGCCCAATGTGGAAAAACCTTGTCTCTACTAAAAATACCAAAATTAGCTGGGCATGGTGGCAGGTGCCTATAATCCCAGCTATTTGGGAGGCTGAGGCAGGGAGGTTGAGGCCTGAATCTGGGGGCAGAAGTTGCAGTGTCACTTCACTTGAAAGAGCGAAACTCTGTCTCAAAAAAAAAAAAAAGAAGTGGGCCCCTCTCTTATGAATCACCAAGTTATAGCTCATGTGTGACATAGGAAAAAAAAAAGCCTAGGGCCGGGAGGCAAGGAGCTGGGATTTAGCCTGGTTCTGCTGCTAACCAGTTGTATGACCTTAAACCACTCAGTTTCTCTTGTTTAAAATAGAGATGCCACCTGTCCAACCACCAATGGCAATCATAGGAAGTGAGTGCTATCAGACTCCACGGTAGGAGTATGCAAATGAGTAAACCCAGTGTGGCTGGTACTGCCCTGGGCATTGTTGACCATGATACTCAGCCTAGTGTTCCACCCAGCAGGCAGTGAGGGTGACTCACCTTGGGCAGAAGTCCCCTTTAGCACTAGCCTTGTCCAACTATCTTGCCACAAAAAACTCTGTCCAACTCCCTCCCCATTCCCCATTCCTAGGCAGCAAGGAAGGAACAAGCTGGGCAGCTGAAATGCTCCTTTTTAGCATCCACTGGTCACTTCACTGATCACTTACCCTTGAGTCCAGGGAGGGCTGGCAACCCACTGATCCCTGGAGAGCCTGGGCTTCCTTTTTGTCCTATTAGGCCTGGATTCCCGGGAAGGCCTTTCAGCCCTGGCAGCCCTTTCTTTACAAGTGATCCGGGAAGACCTTTCTCTCCTCTAGTTCCTTTGTTTCCAGGGTGTCCTGAATCAGCAAAGGAGAGAACACAGGACAGCTGTCAAGTGAGGCTTTGGCCAGATCTGGGCCTATATCACAGCTTCTGATTGGTTTCGCTTGCTGTGTTTCGTAAATGGCCCTTTAACAATGGCACATGCAAACTGCTAACAGGCAGAGTTCTTAGTTGGCTGAAGCATTAGTATCTACTACCTAGAGCACCACGCCAATGGCTATTAGTTCTAGCATGGCACCGTAGCTGGCAGGGAGAGAAAACCCCTTCTGATTATAACTTCTTGTCCTTTTGTGAATGTCGTTTACACGTTAGCCCCTGAATGGAGCTCTGGGAAGCCAGGGTGGCAACTAGGCTCCAGTTTCCTGGTACTTCGTCTGAATCATGCCACAATGGCTGTTTCCTGAGCCAATCGTGAAGTAGAGGTTAAAGCTGAGCTGTTGTTTCAGCCTCCCAGGGAGCCTTGGATACAGGGCTGCCCTTTTAATCCCTCAAGCAAGCAGTTAAGTCAGCCAGTTCCTTGGCATTAAGGTTGAAAGACCCCCTAGTGCCAAGTACTGTAGAAACCCACAAGGCCCATTCGGTCTCCTAGGTATTCTGAGAAGTCTTTCACCATGCTTTAAAGTTGGTCAATGGGATTAACCTCCTGAGCTGCTGCCAAAGTGGAATGTTCAGGTACAAAGCAAGGAAATTAAAAAATGAAAGGATTAAATCAATGACGACAGAGGTATTAGGGTCCCTAAGGACCCAAATGAATGGCTGACTTGGCTTTCTATGGATTGAAAAGCATCAAGTAGCCACAAGCCCCAGAATTCAAATGGGAGGCTGTGAAGGGGACTCCACAACAAGAGAAGGAAATTCAATGGGAGCCAACCCCACAGCAGGAGCTCAGGGATCCCTGGCCTTGTAAGCAAGACCATGTTATAGTGTATAATCAGATACATTCCTGAGTGGCAGAGCCAGTGGGGGTGTTAGTCTGTGAGCTTGTGTGCTGTGTTTTCTTACTTAGGCAGCCTATGTGAAGATCGCAGAAACACAGAGAGACAAAGGGGATAAAAAGGACATTAATGGCTCTGTAAATAACTCCACTTCAGTCACTAGGCCAGGAAGAACGGGTGGTAGGGAATGGGGTAGTCACCAAAGTGGACTGAGAAGGGTGATGCAAGAAAAAGGCAAAGCTGCAAACACCAGTCTGGAAGCAGCAGGTGTCAGGCCCCACTGCTGAGTAAAAGACGCTTCGGCTGTGGGTCCTTGGAGATGCGCTCGCCTAACAGGCAGGCTGTCAGTATAGCCAAACTCTGCTCAAGCTTCTCCCCAACCCAAAGCAGGCTGCCCACAGCCCCGGTGAAGGCAGCAGAGACGGGCTAGATCCCCTCAACGATGAGGGTGGTTTCTCTAACTGGGGAGGTCGGGAGAGTTGAATCCTGTAAATTGGGTGTGAGGCCGTGGAGGAGCGGGTGGGGAGAGATTTGTGGCAAAAGTTTGGAAGCTAACCTGCAGCAGTCTGTTCTGCCTGGTGCTACAAGGGTGACTTGAGATTTGAAACCTGAGAGCTTAGGAAAGTCAAGTCTCATTCTAAATTCTGACCATGCCCCACTGCTGCTATTGCCCCCTTCCCCACAGTGCGCCCTGGGCCCACGGCCTAGCTGAAGTCTGTCAAGGTGGGACTCCTCCTCTGAAGGACCTACCTGAAGTACCTTGGAAGCCTGGAGCTCCTGGGAGTCCAGATTTGCCCTTGATGCCATATGGGCCACTAGATCCTGGAGTGCCTGGCTCTCCCACCTGTCCTGGTGTTCCAGGGCTGCCCCGCTCACCTTTGGGGCCCAGCAAGCCAGGCTTCCCATGCAAACCTGATGAAAGAGAAGGGCAAGTGATCATAGCCTGGAGAGAACACAGTGACTGGGTCAGCAAACCAACTTCCAGGACTCATCTCAGGTGCCACTATCTTCTCAGCTCCAGCCTTGTTGCTATTCCCAGTTGTAACCCAGCCTTTGCAAGAAATTTGATTATTAGTATGGTCACTTTTGGAATTACTAAGACAGTGAAGTCGACTCAGGCTATTTAAGGAAAATTTCCCAAAAGGGAGGGACAGAATAAAGTATTTCATTTTAACCCCTTAATTAAACCATCACCCTAGATTTATGCAAGTATTCATGCAAGTATATGAATTAATGTGAGGATTCCTATAGATTGTTAAATAAGTGGGGCAAAAAGAGTCACCCTTGAGTCCTGGAAGGCCAGAGTCTCCAATCAATCCTTTGTCTCCTGGCAATCCTTGTAGGCCTTGTTCCCCTGGAGCACCATTTTCAGCACCGAAGATGTCACCAGTGGCTCCCTTGGAACCAGGTAAACCTGGACTGCCAATTATCCCAGGCAAGCCATCTTTTCCTGGGAGACCAGGAAACCCGGGCAAGCCCTTCTCCCCACGAGGTCCAGGAAATCCTAAATGTAAAAAGGCAAACATAAAAGACCGTGGCTGATTAGAAGCAATTTGTCTGGGTACAGATCTCTAAGACAGATTTTTCTGATATAAAAGTTAACATATTAGTAATATATGTCACTTCTCTTAAGGATCAGGAGTCTCTGTTCCCGTGAGGCCTTGTGTAAAGGCAGGAACTGTGCCCCATGACCTGGAGGAGGTTCTAATTCTGAGAGGTGGGGCTGTGGTCGGAGCTCCACAACCTGCTTCTGAGGGTCCTATATATTTCTTGCACATGCACACACACACACACACACACACACACACACACACAGAAGCGAAGATGCTCCTTTTCTTACCTGGTAGTTCAGGAAGATGAACCAGTCCTGGACTCCCTGGCTTTCCTTTATTTCCATGTGATCCAGGAGGGCCTCGGGTCCCAGGGAGGCCACGGGACCCTTTAGGGCCTGAAAACCCAAATGTAAGCAGTGAGGGGAAAGGAAAGTCATTGTGCTAGGTATGATTTGTGATGTTCAGTCAGGAATCCCAGTCTCTTGAAGAGCCTCTCCTAGTCTTACCTCTCCACACCACCCTCTCCAGCAGCCATTCTATGTCCTCAATCCCCAAGGCTGCCCTCAGGAAGAATGTGGATCTCCAAACACCCTTACGAGAGTGTTTAGTGGCTTTCTTTGCCCTCATTCCATACCTGGGAATCCGGGAGTGCCTGGAAATCCTGATGGACCGTATGACCGGGGAATAATACAAGGCAAGGTGATTCCTGTAAATGGTAACATGTGTGTATTCAGTGAACCACTGAGTCAGGGAAGATTTCTCCCTAGCACGCTCCTTTACTTTTATTCTGTTTAATAGGACAGACAAGTTCTCTCCACTCAGCAGTTGGGATCCCACACAGAAAAACCTTGGCATCATTACTACCAGTACAATCGCTTACAGATGAGAATGTTCCTAGTGTCCAAGTGCTAGGATATCATTTATCAAACCACTGATGCCCAGTGAGCAGTCACTTATGCAGCAGATGTTATCTAACAAGGTTTCTTAGATATTGCCTGTGCAGGAACAGCAGCAGAAAGCAATCACCTACTCATCCTGCCCTCAGATAGAGCCTCTCCCTATGATGGGTGTTGGGGGTTTATCCTAAGGGTCCATTATGCTTATATGACTAGATTGGAGGGTTTGAACCCAAGATCCCTCAAGTTTTCATGTTCACACTTTCCTTGGAATGACGTTTTGTCCAAACCATTGGGTTCTTTTGATGCACTTCATTTGGGATCTACTGAAACCTATTGATTGTCCTTGGCCAATTGTACCAGTATGTTTGTACTTCAAACACTGAAGACCAGTCTCTTGGCCGTGATAAGCAAATGGTGATCCTTCCCTCAGCGCCTTATTTGAAACTGTCAACTCTGCTACTCAAGGAGAAAAGCAGCAATTTCAATATTCAAGATGTCAAAATTGGCATGTATTGCCCTTCCCCTAGCAAATTCTCTCTTGCTCATTCATAATGCAAATAAAATGTCTATACGATCACAGAAGGGAAGTTTAATAAAATACCAGTGAACAAATTGTTTGCGGGCTCCCTCAAGTGCCATTTACAAACAACTGTTATGCTAATTAAAATAAGTCTTGCCTATTCATTAAAACAATCTCCCAAGGTCTGCTCTAAGCCACAGAGCCAGCAGTTTTAATAAACATCTATCGCTTTCGTCTGTACTTAAATCACAAATTACATTTCTGAAACATCTGTACAGCCTTGTGGAAGTTCCCCCTGGACACTGGGTTTCTCAAGACCTTCACTCCTGTAACTATGTAATTTACTTCACCCTTCCCTCTGCTTGCAACTGATAACCCCCACCTTTCTGATCATGCCTGTTTGTAACAGATGACCCCTACTTTTGTGATCATGCATCCCATGACACCCTTCCCCTCCCTAAAATAGATTACCACCTTTAACTGACCACTTGCCTCAACCTATAAAACCAACTCCTATCCCACCACCTTCCACTGACTCTCTTTTCAGACTCAGCCCACCCACAGCTGGGTGAATAAACAGCCATGTTGCTCACACAGAGCCTGCCTGGTGGTCTCTTTACACGAGCCATGCACCTAACACGATGCTTCACTAGGAGGAGCTTTTAACTCTGTGCTTGGCTCATGCCTGGGCTCTTTCAATTAGGCTAAAGAATTTTCTCCAGAGGGTATATCATGAGAGGGATCTTGCTAAAGCCTCTTCTGCCCTCAATAATCTCAATAGCCCATTGGCTCCAATGTGTCAAACTCTAACATTACAGTTCCATTGTTTTATGTCTTCGCAAACAAACTTAGTAAAATAAAAATATCCCTGGGCTGGGTCCAAATATGAAGCCATTCATCCTTAATTTATCAGACTGATTAAATAACTTCTTTTCATCTGTGATAGCCAGATAAAAACAAAGCCCTTAGAAGATGAAGCTGAGGACAGGCATCTTGAAGGATTCTGGGATGAGAAAAACAATGGTCAAAAGAAAGATGGGTAGAAACCCAAAGAAATCAAGGGCATATTTCCCTCAATAATTTTGTCTCACACCTGTATGCCACACTACACTTCAGTATTGCAAGCAGAGGTTCAAAATGGTGAGAGGGAAGGACTTCAAAGTCACACTGGTATCTGGCTGTTTTCCTTTACACATTCTTCTACTTTACTTTCCGGAATTCGGAGACTTCTCCTTAACAAAGCAGAAATCTGCTCTACCCATGTTCTGTTTAGTAATTGCAACAAATGACCTAATTATTCAGAATTTTTCCCATTAATGCCCAAATCCATCTTCGGAATAAAAAGGGTCTGTGGTTACCAAGATTCTAATATCTAAATTTGTTCTGGTGCAATAAATAAAGTTCCGACATGTGTGGATCATTTTAGGTACCACTCAAGGCAAATTATAGCCCCAGTTAAGTGCAGAAAATGAAATTGCTTAAGATAAAGATCAGCCAAGCCATCATCATGCATGGTGAAGGAAATCAGACCCTCTCAGAGGCTGCATGCCTGCTCAATCCCATACTGCCTGCTGTAAGAGGTATGTGCTAAGGAGCCTCTGAAGCAGTGTTGGTGTCAGCCTTTGCATTCCAGCCTTAGACTCCCCGCTTCCCAAACAGGTCCTCCAGTGTGGTGCTCAGGCCATTGTGACTGTCTGAGAGACAAAGGTGAACAAAAAAGGGGTGTTTGTCCGACACTAGTGTCTGAGAGCTTGTAGACCTAGCTAGCTCTCACCTCTCTCTGTGTCTAAGTCTCCTTTACCAACCGTCTCTCTGCAGCAACAGTCACCTAGAGCAAATTACGTGAAGAAGAAAATTAAACCAGTATAGAAATTCCTTGAGGCCCAAGGGAAGTCTTCCCAGAAGCCCAGATACACCCACCAACCAAATCTCCTGTCTGAACTGAGCAGACAGCACTGGTGCCCACGTGGGATCAAGCACATAGTCACCACAGTACAGTAATAACCAGGGTGATTGATTACTATGAGCATCTGGAACAGAGTCTCTTTGGAAACAGCCAGTTGTCTGCTTTTCCAGACTTCTAACAATTCACACTAGTAGGCTGAAAGGCTTCTGATTATTACATCCTCTTTCCTGGCAATGCAGCTGTCCTAGTTTGGGCTACCAATGATTGGAGTGGGTACATTCAAGAACAGCATCTTAATTTTTTTTCTGGCAACATAAATGGCTACAGTGAAAATGTTTGGGGACCACAGGTTATTTGTTTTTGAAATTGTGCAGAAAAAGTGGTAGGTTTGAAGAATTATATTTGGTTGTCATAGAGAGAAAAAGAAAGCTAATGCTCTTTAGTAATTTCCTGAAACCCTTGCTACTGCAACAAGGACATGGCTCTAGTTTTAATATGATTTGTCTCCGCCAAAAGTCATGTTGAAACTTGGTTCTCAGAGTGGCCGTGTTGGGAGGTGATGCTTCTGAGAGGTAATTAGGTTTATAGGATGGACTAATCTTTTTCTCAGGAGAGTGGGTTATTTCTCAAGGGAATGGATTAGTTCCCACAGGAGCAGGCTGTTATAAAGCAAGGTTGCTTTGAGTATTTGGACTCTTGCATGTACCCTTCTGCTTTCCACAATGAGTTGAAGAAGCACAAGGCCCTCACCTGATGGGTTGCCCGATCTTGAACTTCCTAGCCTTCAGAATCATGAGCTAAATAAATCTCTTTTCTTTATAACTTACTCAGTCTCAAATATCCTGTTATAGGAACAGAAATGGAATAAGGGAAACATTTTCTGCATAAGGCATCTCCCAGGCTATCGTTTACCGTATATTCCTAAGAACTTTCTGTATCCAGGACTAGGGATATTTGGGATAAAAATGGTCCTGTAAGCTTCCTTCTGTTGACTCATCCTGTTCTCAAATAGTTAAAATGTTGATAATATCCAGAAGACTTGGAAGTATGTAAGTTTATAGGTGCCATGTCACTATAACCCAATTTAAAACCTTGTTGCCTGCAAAATGGTTTAACCTACAGTGAAGACCCAATTAGGGAAGGAGCAGTAGGATAACCATGAGTAATGTCTCTAGGAACAGAGCTGAAAGCAAAGTGATAGCTGACACTAGGACTTCCAACAGGCAGAATGGTATTGTTTGATAAATCTTTATGGCCAGGTGCAGTGGTTCATGTCTGTAATCCCAGCACTTTGAGAAGCCAAGGCAGGTGCATCACTTTAGGTCAGGGGTTTGAAACTGGCCTGGCCAACATGGTGAAACGCTGTCTTTACTAAAAATACCAAAATTAGTTGGGTGTAATGGAGGGTGCCTGTAATCCCAGCTACCAGGAGTCTGAGGCAGGAGACTTGCTTGAACCCGGGAGGCAGAGGTTGCAGTAACCTGAGATCATGCCACTGCACTCCAGCCTGAGTGAGAGTGAGACTTCATCTCAAAAAAAAAAAATTAAAAAAAGGAAAAAAATTTCTTACAACTTTCACAATAATTTGTGAAATAAAATACTGAGTCGGTTTTAAGGATCTTGAATTATCAAGTGTTAACCTACCATCAACCTTATTACAAGAATGTACAAAATAGATTCAGAAATAAATAAAATTTTACAAGACCTGGTATCCTGTCTTCCTTTTTGTAATTCTTCAAGATGATAAGGTGGGAACAGGAGAAATATGTTTAAGTAGCCCTTTGGTTATTGGGAAGGCTCTTTCTTCTGGAAATAAATGTTAGTCTCCTATGGAGCACTGCACTATGCTAGGCATGTAAAGAAACCCTAAGACGTATTACCATTCCTAATATGGAGAGACTTACAATGCAGTTGGGAAAAGTAAAAGCATTAATGGAAAGAGATATATAATTTAAATAGCAATGACATACTGTGGATGTCAAGGAAAAGCTTAATGGAAGAAGTGGGGTTTATGTTGAACCCTGAGAGAGGAATATGATATAACTACACAAAGAGGAAGAGCACTCCAGAAAAAGGCAACATGGAAAAATCCTGGAGCTGGAAGTGAACATATTGTGTTTGGGTACAGTGAAGAAGACTGGCTTCTTCTTAGTTTTTTGCTTAAATTAAGAGTGTGATATAAAGTTGAAAAGGTTGGTTGTATCCATGTTTGGAGACTTTTGAATTCCAGGTTGAGGAGTTTGGACGTTATATGGTCTCTATTCAATGGGTACCATATGTGTCTTTGAATTAGGGGAGTTACATGATGATGATGTCACTTTACAGATGTAATATTGGCAGTGGCGCTTAGAATAGAATTGAATGTAAAAAGTCTGGAGGTTGGAGATGAAAAACTACTTAGGAAATTGTTGTCATTCACTCATCCATCCATCCATCCATCCACCCATCCAACCAACCATCCACTTATTCCCACAAGCATACACATATTTAAAAAAACTAGGTATGAGATAATGAGAGTTTAGTAGCAAAAAGAGAAGGAAAGAATATAAAAGGAATTGCAAAGGAAATCAGAGCTAATCTCAAAATTTTAAATTTCAGAATATTGTAAGTGTGGTGTCACTAATGGAAACGTAGAAGTTGTGGAAACCCAGAATTTGGGATGAAGAGCTGTTATGGCTCTATTGAAGAAGACTAGTTATTAGCATAGCACATTTATAAACTATAAGTAGGACTGAAACACATAATTCCCAAAATTCAAGTAGAAAAAGAAGTTATATAAAGAGGAAGGAATTAAGGGATCAAATGAGGTTAGACTATATGCAACTAGGATTTCTGCCCAATCTGAGATTCCATGAGTTGAGGAAAGGGTTTTTTCCCCATTGATAATATTGCCACACAATTAGAGGGCACCTTGTCTAATGTCCCACTCATTGCTCTGATGACATTTGCAGTAAATGGTCATCCAGCTTCTTCTTGAACTTTTCCAAAGATTATGAGCTCATAACCCCCATAGGTAGCTCTGTTATATTTTCAGACTGCTCTGGTAGGATGTTCTTTACTAAGTATAGTGGAAATCTACATTATTCTACCCCCTACGCTTACCACGATACAATTATAATACTTTTTTTCACATACAAATCCATCAGGGGGTTGAAAGTAGTGATTATGGTCAGACAAGTCTCTTCTTATGTATGACACATTTCATGCACCTGAGTTATATTCACTCTACAAAGGGTCAAATTTCCAAGTCCAAAGCCATCTGATTCCATGACTCACCCTTCAATCCAGGGGTGCCTTGTTGTCCTGGTGATCCATCCTTGCCTTTATCTCCAGGAAGCCCACGGGGTCCAGGAAGTCCTGGTAACCCAATTCCTGGGAGGCCAGGTAGACCAGGTTGGCCTTTTTCACCAGGAAGTCCTGGTAATCCCTTTTCACCTGGAAAGCCCTGTCCACCATCACCCTAGACAACACATAAAAAAAATAATGAACATTCAACTCAGAGATTTGTCTGGACAGTCCTCTGACCACAGGAAAGAGGTAGCCAGTGTGACCAACGCTTTGTGCTTTGTTAAAATTCTCTATCATCACCATAGTTCATCAATCAGTCTCCTCTGACTTTAGTTAATGGATGTGAATCTTGTCTACTCTGGATGATCTAACAACACAAAAGGTTCTGGATGGGGGTGAGGAGAGAGAGCAAGAAATGGGCAGGATAAAAACCTTGAGATCACAGAAAGTGGCTGGATTACTTGAGGAGAAAAGTTGATGAGAAACTGAAGTATTTTCAAGTCATATGGTCAAATATTACTAGCTTGTGTCAAATGAGACAATGATCCACTCTGAGAAAATGATTCTCACTTTACATAAAGAAAAAGCCCAAAGTAAAAAGTTTCAGTAGCAGAGGGAGGGCACAATGCTCTAGACTCTCTCTGTTCTTCCTTGTTTCATGGTCCAGTGGCCATCAGATCCCCCAACAAAGTCAGCTGTGAAGATCTGTAGAGCTAATCACCCAGGAATGATCAACTTACCGGAAGACCTGGCAGACCTGGTAAACCTGGTATTCCATCCTTTCCTCGTTCTCCTGTCACACCAGGAAAACCCTGGGAGCCAGGATCACCCTGATCCCCTTTCATTCCTGAGATTGTACCGAGAGTTGGTTCGCCCTTCTTTCCTTTGGGTCCTGAAAGACCTGGACGCCCGTGAAAGCCCTGACAGAGAGACCGGAGGCAGTAGTCAGGAGATGCAGACTTCATAGAATTCCGGCACCTAGCATTATGACCTAAAGCAGAACCCTGGGTCCATATTGGCCTGTTCTAGGCACTGATTATTTTGTAATCTTGAATAATAGTTGCCCATTTATTTTTTTACCTTTTGTAAATTTTGAAATCTTTGAAGGGGAACCTCACCTTAATTCCTATTTTATCTTCAGGGGCCAGCACATTGCTAGGCAAAGATAAACAGTGTTGTGGAAGGAAGAAAGGGGAGAAAAAGAGAGGGGAAGGTAGGTAGGTTAAGGCAGAAAGGACTTTAAGAGACTCTCTAGTCAGATTTCATGTTGCAGATCAAAACCCCAAAACTTTGTTTTAATCCCATCTTTCTTGCATGTGCTTTACAAAAGTAATTGTGAGGAGTGAAGGGCACTTGAAAGCTCCCACTGCTTCCTCAGGGTCAAAGTTTGGCAAGACTTACTGGAGACCCTGCTGGGCCCTGTGCACCTCCAGAACCTCGATCTCCTCTGGCTCCTTTAAGGCCTGGAAGGCCTATGAGACCTTGTGGACCAGGTGGGCCTGGTTCCCCGGGTAGTCCATTGCTGGGGACACCGCTGTCACAAGCACAGAAACCTGAGTCTCCTGGGAGAAAAAGACAACATAGAACAAAGTCGGTCTTTTTTTTCCAAGAAGAATGAAGAATTGATAGTGGTTATTTGTGACTTGAACAACTCAATAGAGAGCATCTGAAGGCTTGCAGAGAACACACTCAAATAAACTTGGTTCACTTTCTAGCAGAGTATGTCTGTGTTAGTGGTTCAGATTTTGTTAATCAGGGATGAGGCCCAGCCGTCAGTGAGTCTAATGTCCAGCCATAGTTGAGAACCACTGAGCTATACTAACCAGCTGAGAGTCTGGAATTCAAGCCGCTCAAAGATTTTCTTCACCAAAATGTCTTTTCCCCTGACTTTTGTACACATGAGACAAATGTGTACACATTTTTATATACATTGAAACAAATGCCAAATAAATAATGACAGGGACTTTAGCAAAGCACCTTGGAAGTGGTATAAAGGAGTTGCTAGCATTATAGTCCAACTCCCTATATCTTCTGTGCTTATTGTCTGGAAAATAAGAATTGGTGCCAACATAGGTGACCCTGAGTTTCCCTAAGATTCTGAAGTGACTCTTCTTACTTTTAGAAAATTGATGATTTCTAAAACTCTAAGAGAACAGTCTGTTTTTCAGATAAGTATTTCTCGAGTGTGATCCTGCATGAGTTACCTGTGATAAGGCAGCTTGCTCGTTATCCCAGTCCTATCCCAGTCTTAATCAATCAGTCTCAGGAGCCCAGACCAAATAATTTAATTTTTAATGACCTCCCCTCAGTGATTATCATGTACAAAGAAGCTTCAGAATCCCTATTACTATTCCATACTTTGAGAAAATCTTTCAGCCCCATGGAAATACAGAAAGGGAAGCATCAGAAATGTCCCTGTTTTAGGAGTGTGAATGGTATGGAGAAATAGACCAGCTTTGTAGTGAGTTAGGTAAGGGCCAAAGTTAACATCTAAGTTAATTTAATGCCCTTTCCATCAAATACTTTTCACTGGATCTGAATAGTAGAGAACAAGCTTTCAGACATTTCTTAACCAGCCTCTATATGCTTAGGCAATGACATTTTATGACAGAGCAATGAGAAAGGAGAGGAGTAAGTTAGAACTTCTCTGTTTGAGGCTAAGGAAAGCAGTTAATTCCTAAAGATCTTGAATAACTGAACCCTAGGCAATCCCCAAACCTCCCTTCAGTCAGTGATTTCACCTCTTCTTCCGTCCTGGCCTTGGCCACAACCATAATGAATTGACTTATTGAGCATCTTCCACTCAGAGTAAGTGATAGAAGGGGGAAATAACCAAAGGCAGCAAGGAGACAGACAGAATTAGTACAGCTGAAAAATGAGGTCACTGATCGGTTCTCAACATCAGTGGGGACTAGGGTTGTTTTCCTGGAGCCAGCTGGCTTTTTCAGAGTCCCAAGTCTTGACCTGTTCAGAGCACTTTGCTTAAGGCTGAAGGTATTAAGTGGCTTACATCATGGGAGGGGTAGCAGCATGCACTGGTTAATAGCCTGGGCTGCAGGTGAAGGAGACAGAAAAAGAAGCCTATGAGCAACTTGGTCCTGTGTGACCTCCATTGCTAGCCTCAGTCTTAGAGCCCAAATACAGCACTTCTAACAATCCTATAATCAAAGTTCCAAACAGGATCCACAGTTGCTTCTGTTTAGGTTCCCTGGGCTGTTAGTTTGCTCATTCCTCATAAAGCCTTCTCTAAGGAGTTTGGAGGACCAAGAAACTCAAGGGGACAAAATCACCTTTTACTCCTTTGAGGCCTGGGTTTCCTTTTGGACCTTGTTCTCCTCGGAGACCAGGGAACCCTGGTTCTTTGTTGTGTAGGGTCTCAGTCTCAAATTCTGGACCTTTGGGTGAAAGAAAGATAAAGGATTAGCAACTTGTATAAGCCTGATGACTCCTCTGACTAACCACAGCAGCTCAATCACCAAGGCCCAAGTCCTCGAGGCTGAACAACCAGAGCAGAGCCAAAAAAATAACATTCAAGACTGGGACCCCAAATCTTCAGCAAGGAGTTAACAGGACCTCTGTTGGCTCAATTCACTCAACTAATATTTATGGAATGTCCATTATGTTCTAGGCAACGTACTAGACAGTGGGGTTACAGAAATTAGCAAGGTAGTTTCTGTAACTCAGCAGTGTCAATGTCTACCCCAGAAACCTCTCTTAGGACAAAAGAGGAAAGAGGTGCAAGCCGCAGTGGACATGGGATTTAAGGTACAAAGAAACATTCTGGGCAACATTTCCAGCCTTTCTCTCAGAATCTAGAATCTCACACTTAAGTAGGAGATCTAAGGAGAACAAGCCCTATGTAGGCTTTTAGCAGCCACTTCCAGGATCCAGGCTTGGCTTCTTTTTTTCTTTTTTTTTGAGATGGAGTATTGCTCTTGTTGCCCAGGCTGGAGTACAATGGAGCGATCTTGGCTCACTGCAACCTCTGCCTCCTGGGTTCAAGTGATTTTCCTGCCTCAGCCTCCTGAGTACCTGAGATTACAGGCATGCGCCACCATGCCCAGCTAATATTGTATTTTTAGTAGAGACAGGGTTTCCCTAGGTTGATAAGGCTGGTCTCAAACTCCCGACCTCAGATGTTCTGCCCGCCTCAGACTCCCAAAGTGCTGGGATTACAGGTGTGAGCCACCGCGGCCAGCCAGCTTCTATTTTTCTCAGGTTCTCAGCCCACCACATTGGAGCCCTATGGACCAGAGCAAGCACAAAAGAGCCAGTGCTGCTTCTTCAGGAGCTGAAAAAGCAGAGGCTTAAGGACTGAGAACAGTGAAAGATGGAGTGAGAATGGGTACAAAAATGGAAGGCATTAGGCTCTAGTTTGCTTGTTCCTTGATGGAGAACACTCTGCTGTCATATATAACTGGTAAAGGCAGGACTCTGACTCACAGATGATGGGGACTTCAGCGCTGTCCCTCTGCAATTATGATGTATCCTGGCTTAGCTGTTTCACTTGTGAGACAACCCCTCAAAAATCATGACTGTTCTGCAGTCTGGATCACATCTGAGTCTCAAGACCAAAAAGAGAAATGAGTAACTTACTAGGTGGGCCTGGTGGACCTGGTGGGCCTGGCAAACCATCTCTGCCAGGGAGGCCAGCTGCCCCGATTGTGGTACGGCCTGGGTTTCCTTGGTCCCCCTTCAGTCCTGGAAATCCCTGAGGCCCTAGGGCTCCTGGGACACCTGAAAGAATAAGCCCACACACAAATGCTTATTATATAATCCTACTCTCTGGGGCATTCCTATCTGTGGCATATGTTGGAAACAAGTCCAAGGAAGAATTTGGGAAAGTATTTGCCCTTCTCTTGCATCAGAGTTAGAAGGATCCTTAGCAATCAATTGGCTGTTAAGCTAATTTTCCCTCTTGGGAAACTGAGACCCAAAGAAGAGAGGAAACATGATCGGGGCCCAGTATTTCTTAGTGGCAAACCTGAGAGGAAAATCTGGGTGTCTAGCCTTTCACTTCTCAATTTTTTTCCACCTTGGTGCTGGGGCCAGCTGTACATTTTCCTGGTGGCTGCTTTAAAAACGTAGGTATTTTCACAGCAGCCCAACGCCAAGGAATTCAGAAACTGGTGACTTGAAAAGTAATAGCTGTTGGGGGCTTGGGGGCTAGGGGAGGGATAGCAGTGGGTGGGGAGATTGGGGAGGAAAAACATTAGAAGAAATACCTAATGTAGGTGACGGGTGGATGGAGGCAGCAAACCACTACAGCATGTGTATACCTACCTATGTAACACTCCTTCACAATCTGCATATGTACCCCAGAACTTAAAGTATAATAAAAATAAATAAATAAAAGCATTAGCTGAGCTTTAAATATGGGGCATCACTGCCTCCAAGATTCTGGAATGTCCCTTTTCTACATGTCACTATAGAATGACATATGGATGTGATTAGTTCAAGAGTTACCCACACGATCCTTGGACCATTTAGTTCCTGGCTGAATCCTACAGCAAGGTTTTGGGTACAAATTTTCCTCTGGGCTTTTGCTGCCCCTCTTGACAAGCATCAGCTGGGATGGTACATCCACAGGAGAAGGACACAGCTCCAGCAACTCAACCCAGGATCCCTCTTGTTGCTGCAAACCTCAATGGCAGTCTAGTATTGCCTGTCCAGCTATGACACATTAAGCCAAAAACAAAAGCTGATTACCCAGGCCCTACCCCCACATACATTAGCCTTGGGCTGGCAGTCGGGTTCCTACTGACTATAGTCTACCTCTTCTTTGACTTTGGCTAGGTGTATGCCCTGACCCAGAGGTACAGAAGGGAATGCTGGGAACCACAGTGCATAAAGGGCTGATCTGTGCAGGAAATGGGTTAGTTTTTTTTCACCTGATAATGCTGGCAAGCCAGGGACACCAGAAGGGCCACGCAGGCCCTGGATGCCTTCATCTCCTTTAAGGCCTGGGAGGCCGGGTACACCAGGGTCTCCAGGATTACCTGGCATTGTAATGAGAAAAAAAAAAGCAGTAAACCAACACAGAAGGGGCCCACAGATGCTGCAAAATTCCCAAGAGGTACAGGGAGCTGTCCTGGCATTAGAAGTGACTTACTTGCCCTTTCCAAGTTTCTCATGCTAATGACATCACATGATAATGGGTCTTCTGGAGCCAAGGGGCCTTCTGGAGCCAGCACTAGTATATCAAGAATTGGTCTGGCCAAGGCCTGCCTTTCATGATAAGCTCTGGTAGGTACTAGGAAGCTGCTTCTTCTACCACTAATCTGCAATGCCTCAAATGTCTACCATTTGGTTTAAGATGCTGAAGTCCACTATTTATGTTATACATATATGTTTCCTGGAAGTGGCACACAGGAAGCCACTGTCAAATATTAGTACCAAACAGTGCATGGGCCTTAGAAGGTGAGAGGAGAGGGACAAGTTGGAAGATCCATGGAAGAGGCACTACAGTGGAAGCCTTTGGTCAAACAAGAAGTAACTGGAGACACTGCACATCTCAATCTTTGGAGAACGTAAAGGGAAGAGATGGGCACACACAATAACTAGGACAAGGAGAGGTGAAGACACACGTTCTACACTTGATCTTAGCCAAAAGGCCGAGAAGCAATGAAGACACACTTTCTAAGCATCATACTTGTGAGGGCTCTCAGCCACTTGTTCCCCTAACCAAATGTATTTTTCTATTTCCTATGAAATTGTTAAGCTCAAGCATGCGTGGATCATCTACATGAGGCCCTGAGTATTCCATAGTATCAAACTGAAGTCAGTTCAGCTCTGCGGTGGTTATCATTTCTTCCCTAAGCATCACCAGGAGAACCATTTTTACCAAATTCAGGCCCAGGCAGAACCAAATCCTAGGCTTGGTGGACTGATCACAAAAATGGGGCACTGGGCTTGGCTTCTCTGCCTGAAAGATTAGAGTTAGCTTTATTTCTTAAGCTCAGAAACCATGAGGAGCTCTTGGGCGTGTCAGGTTTAGAAACAATTGAGTAACAAAGTAACATTTTTATAATTACACAGGATATAAAATTTAACTCCCTGTCTTTATTTTCCACTCAAATTAATGGGAAGTTGCACCTGAGATCACAGCACCATCTATATCGATGAAAACATCTGGGCCTGGCAGGCCAATGTCACCCTTTTCACCCTGAAAAGAGTAAATACATTAAACACAAATATTTCCATGATCTTATTACCCAAGATCTATGTACCATTAAAGCCCATCCCGAGTAAAATGAAGAAAGGTTCTTCTTTCTATAACTGCAGATTTTTAGGGTCAACTAGTCCATAGGTTAATTTCAAAGTCCCATAAATTTCAGATGAAGGTGACACAAAGCAGACCAGAGGTCTGACATTCAATTGCAAACCTGTCAAGTACAAGGGATCCCAAGTTTATTTTGCAACCCTACTCAAGCGCAGTCTGCTTCTGGGCCTTGGCTGTACCTAAGTAGTGCTAAAGGGAGAACAGAGTTTTAACTTTTTTCACTCTCAACAGGCCTGGGCCTCTACTATAATTACAACTCTTGTCAGTAGACGATATCAGGCAGAGGAAATTAAAGGAGTTCTAATACTCCACAAAGAGGGATTTAGGTACTAAAAACACATACAGTGGCATATCTAGGGTGGGATGGTGGTAGTTATATGCCCAGGTGTAGGCAAAGGGGGATGCATTGCCTGTAGAAAATTTAAAAACAATAGTAAAATCTAACAGTTGGCAATTCTAAGCAATGAGAATAAAATTTTCCTTGTCTTCAGGATGGACTTGCTCCTACCAGCCCCTGCCCCTTAGTTTACCACTGATCAAAGAAATGCTCATCAGCAGCTTTGTGTGTTCAAACTAGGTTACATCCATTTCTTATGAAAAATTGAAACTTAAAAGGTCAAAATATTAAAAATACTTCATCTTACATACAGATATTTGTGGTGATTCACCCTTCCACCTCCCAACCCTGGAGTTTTCACTTCCCAAAATTACCTCAATTCCTTGGAATCCATTAAGCCCAGGAAATCCTGGGGACCCCTTCTTGCCCTGTGACAGAAACATAGTTACCACTAAGTTGAAAGTATGAGAGCATAAGAGAGTCTGGTCTTTGGATTATGCCAGGGCAAATGGCTCATGGACTTTGGATGACATTCCAGGATATGTATGGCTTCTATGTGACTCTGGAAGCTGTAAAATCTTCCAAAAGACAACATGGCAGTAGGTAGCTGATTTACATATTAGGAGGTACAAGGGCCGCAAAGCTAGACATGGATATAAACAGGCTGCCCTTGCTAGTCCCTGATAACATGCCAAAGGTGTATGACCACAGGATGGCATGGCAAGGTACTGAACTTGAAACTGGATACTCATCTTCTTGAGTGAAAAGCAAAGAGGACAGTGGCTAAAATTATACCAAAAAAGGGATATGATCAATTTGCATTATAAATAATGTCTCTCTTTGGCCATGTTAAGTAAAGCAAAGCGGACTTTTGATTGGGATTTTATACACTAAAGCATTAATAATATTAACCAAAATACCTGTTTCCCTGGAGGGCCTTGGACTCCTTCTGAACCCATTGGACCCTGTAAAGAAAATAGTTACACCTTAGCAAGACCAATAGACCACTTAAAAAAAAGTCAGTAAACTTATATAACAAAGCTATCCAACTGAATTCAGGATTTAGCAGCTCCGAAAATCAGGTAAGTGAATGAACCAGACCTGGCTTAATGACTTTCTTTTCTTTCTTTCTTTCCTTCCTTCCTTTCTCTTTCTTTCTTTCTTTCTTTCTTTCTTTCTTTCTTTCTTTCTTTCTTTCTTTCTTTCTTTCTTTTTCTTTCTTTTCTTTCTTTCTTTCTTTCTTTCTTTCTTCCTTTCTTTCTTTCTTTCTCTCTCTCTCTGTCTCTCTCTCTTTCTTTCTTTCCTTCTCACTTTCCCTCCCTCCCTCCCTCCCTCCCTCCCTTCCTTCTTTCTTTGAGACGGAGCCTTGTTCTGTCACTTAGGCTGGAGTGCAGTGGCACAATCTTGGCTCACTGCAACCTCTGCCTTCCGGGTTCAAGCTATTCTCCTGCCTCAGCCTCCTGAGTAGCTGGGACTATAGGCACGCAAAACCAGGCCCAGCTAATTTTTGTATTTTCAGTGGACACAGGGTTTCACCACGTTGGCCAGCTGGTCTCGAACTCCTGACCTCAGGCAATTCACCCACCTTGGCCTCCCAAAGTGCTGGGATTACAGATGTGAGCCACTGCACCTGGCCTAATGACTTCTAAGCCCTAATCCATCAGACTGAATAGCCACATGGAGCATTTTTTAAGAGCTAAATAAATGGAAACAGTTTAAGTAGCACATGGAATTTGGTAGAAGCGCTGGGTGGTATTATACTTAGCCTGTATTAGTTCTAAGTCAGGAGATTTTTAAATAGATTATGGGAGGGCCTCATCTTCCACCTCAAATGCATTCTTTGTTGGTGATTTTATGTACTTCCAAGACAAGAAAGGGGGGAAAGGAGAGAAGGAAATGGTAGGGTAATAGATAAATATGACTAAATACTCAAAAGACTCTTAATAAACTTCATGGTCAAGTTAACACAATTCTCTAAAATGTTACTTCTTTGAGGCTAAGTTTGGCCCACTGCTTCTAGCTCAAGACCTCAGTGCCTGAAGCTAGGAATCAGAGAGGCTAATAGTTTTCCATTTGAAGTGAGATTTTTAATGGAAACTGTTGACTTCAGGCTTGTTTCTGTTCAATAAAGATTGTACTTGACCTTCTTTATTCCATTCCTGTGCCACGTCCCTGCTTAATTCCCTCAGAATAGAATGGATTGAAAGCAAGGCAACATTCATATCATTCTTTAGCCTAGAAGACCATGATATATGACAGCAAGGAGATAAATAGGCTGAGGGGCCACCTAGAGTAGGGGGTGCCTCATTCCTTTTCAAGGGAGCCACTCAATCAAGAAAATGGGGCTAAGAAGAGAGAATGAGGTGGTAGAAATCTGCCAGTGGGTTGAGAAAGAGAAATGAGAAGTTTAGGTGGCCATCAAGTTGCAAAACATACAGAAATAACAGGAAAGAAATGGACTAGGTGACTTGACAGACGCAGGCAAGTAACATTCCAGGTTCATACCCTAGGTCCTGGCAAACCAGGGATTCCCTTTTCTCCCTTTTCTCCAGTAGTTCCAAGGCCCTAAATGAAAAAAGAAACCACAAATTATAATACTTGTTTTCTCATCGGTCTCCTGGCTTCATCCAAAGCAAGGAGGCTATTTTAACCCAGCTCCACTTTCGCCTTAGCAAGGCTTACCATGCTGTCTCTTATCACTGCCTGAGAAGCACATAGGGTCTGAATATAAAATGGACCATTCATTCAAGGTTCCTCTTTGGTTAGAGATGTAATGTCCCCACTACCCACAACACTGTTCCATGTATTTATAGTATCATGGGCTAACAGCATAGGAATGATTAAGTATCTAACCTTGATTTTACAGATTGGGAAACCTGCATCTAGATGGGTTAAAAATCAATGAGAAAGCCAGATTTTGAGTTTTTCATTTTGGGGACTTTTCCATTAGAACAGGCTGCCTTCTATCATCTAGGAACTTGACTTTTTGACCCACAAATGAAGGATTATGCAAATTCTTAGGGGCTGATACTAGGGAGAAGAGCAAGAGCTTTTCCCCTTTGGAGATATAATGAACACAACATCCTTTTGAGTGGGGAGAAGTATTTCTATGTAGGAATAGTCTGAAACCCTGCAGCTCCTGTACTGGGACTGTAAGGCTCTTGCCTGGCCCTAGAGATAGCCAAAGGGGACTGTGAGCTGTTCTCCAATCCCTCTTGCCCTGCTCAATAGAGGTGAGGTTTTGTAGCCATGAATATGATTGGGAATTCTCTAGGGAAAAGCAGGAACTCCAAGAAGCAGAATGAGTAAGAGAAAACTTTCTCCCCTCTGGGTCCAATGCCACTATCTGGGCCCCCAAGATACAGAAGAGTTCATTACCAAAGTGGATGAAGTTTTTCACAGTGAGGACATTTTGTTGTTTAAAATGATACTTTTTGGAGCACAGATTTTAGCAAACAACATTTGGCTTATTGTGAAAGTAAAGGAGGCAATGAAGCTTTCTCAAATGTAAGCTTGTGAAAGACACTAAATGTTGTGAAACATCTGTTGTCCCTTTGATGTGACCTGGCTCAGCTGCTTTAACTCCATTTGTAGCTTTTTCTTCCTTTTCCATACATACTCAGAGCATTCCTATGAGTGCTGAAAGCTGGTTGAATACCGCTTGGCTTTCTGGGCCCAGGGTTTTTCATTTTTGTTTTCTTTTGGCTAGTCGTGTTTTTGTTTTTTTTTTAATGTGGGTTGTTTTTACTGGGAGGTGTGTGTGTGTGTGTGTGTGCATGTGTGTGTGCACGCACATGTGTTCATGAGTGTGTGCATGTCTGTGCGTGTGTGTGCATGTATGTGTGCATGTGTGTGCATAGGATCCAATTCAAAGTAGGCTTTGGTCACCTACTTACCTGTTCTCTTTTCTGCATTTATATAACTGTGCATCAAATAGCTCAGCCTTCTTGCTACATTAAATTTCTAATTTGAAAGGCTCATGGGTTAAACTGAATGCAAACTTATTTGAAATATTATTTTTTTCTGCATCAAACCAAGGTATTCTGAAACTTGGTGGAATGTCTATTGGCTTCTGATGTCAAACAGTTCAAGAAGCCTTCTCTGACCCGTCCATGAAATCCGTGGCAGCCCATGCTGCCCCAAACTCTTAAAGTGCCAAGATTGGTTGCATTTGAAAGTTTTGTAAGCACAAGGCTTATATTACATTCTCTTTTATCTTCCTCCAAGGCCCATTACAACAGTCTGAACACATACAAGGTGGCCCAGTAAATACTTGTTGAATTGAGTGGAATAATGGCTGAGAGAACAAAATTATTGCAAAGAATGAAGAAAAGAATGTTCAGGAACCATCTTGTGCCCCCATCTATCTTGCTCACAGTTATATATATAAGGGGGCCTTGTGATTCTTCTTCATAAAGCAGAAGAGTCTTGCTTTTTCAGAGGGTGTGAGAGTTTGTGCTATAGTGTAAACAAAAATAAATACATAAAAAATGTAAAAAGGGAAAAAAAAGAAAGAAGGAAAATTTGTGTGTGGGGATTAGAGCCAATGAAAGATAAATGGTTTGGCAAGACACTGGCTGTGCTGTAGGTTCAACTTTTCTTCCAGAACAGGGAGGTACTGTGCAGGGACCTTGCTGAACAAACTGTTCTATCAAGATGCCCTGGGACTGGCCCCGACACAGTCAGGCCTCCTCATGAGTGATCTTGCAAATGCTGCTCCCACGCTCCTACTTACCCACGGCTGGAAAGCCTCACTGGAGCTAGCTTAACTGTTTCCAGGCCTGCTATCCTTGGCTCTGGACTCCTGATGCTTTTTGGTTCTGAGGAGTTTCAATTGAAGAACCCCATCTACCTAGTAGTTACCCCTACTGGGTAGGTGGTGGGTAACTTTTGATCTACTCAATAGTTACCTCAGGATTTGCCAGTTTCTTCTCTTCTCCCTCCCCTCATCTATTCCATTTTTACCTTCCCCTATGTTTGCTAGTCCCTGGGACAGAGGGCACGTGGATATATAATTCTCTCTGATGACCTCCATGGAAGGACCTGTGGCTTACAAGTGTGAGTGTGTTGCTGGAGACAGTGGGATAAGATGTGTGAAGTGAGGACTGAACCAGAAAATCAGGGATGTTTGGTCACTGCAGAGGGGCCGAGAGAAAGAAGGTGAGGCACAAATCTGTGAGGTTGGGCACTTTGTCTCTTACAAAGATTTGGACTCAGATAGGAAGAAAACAAATAGTTAAAGGGAACATTTTGGATTCCCTAGAGATTTCTCTGCTCAGTGCTGCCTTGTCTCTGAGTGAGTGTGTATAATTGAAAACTGATGTGAAGGCTTTGGGTTTGAAAAGTACACTTCATCTGAAAAGTCCAGAGTATTGCAAATACATTACCACTTTTCTCCTCATAACTTTTCTATCTTAAGGCATTCATAGATGGTCCTATGAATGTTCCCATTAAACAGATAGAGATATTAGGACTGAAGGAGTTACCTGATTTGGCCAAGGTCACAGGTTAAATCTGTGCCAGAGTGGGCTGAGAACTCTGGTTTCTTGATTCCCACCCTATGAAAACATGTTTTTCTATGTAAAGGGGTTACTTTCCAGCTCTGAGGTCTTTACAAACAACTGGGGTTTCTATTTTTCAGCCCACACTCTGAAACACTGGAAATACTGAGCTAGAAATAGCACTGCAATTTATCACCATGAATTGTCTTCAGTCTCTTTTACAGGACAAAAGGGAACGGGTTGAAATTGCAGCAGGGGAACTACTCTGGGTTCAGATGTGGAAATGAAGACGAGGGAGGGAGTGTGAGACAGTGAAGCCAAGAACACCCAAGGAGATCATAACATCCTCTTTAGAGATTTAGAGATTAAAAACCCCACCACGACTGGGATTAGAACAAACTGGACTGTAGGGGGCAGTATGGTGTGGAGAAAAAGCCTCAAACTGGCTAGAATTCAAGAAAGCTGAATTTCAATCTCAGCTCTGCTAATCACTAGCTGTGTGATTCTGGACAAACCTCTTTACCCATTGAGGCTGTGGTTTCCTCATCAGTACAAGGGAGATAAGCCTGGCTCACCTTGCTTACCTCACAGGGACAATGCCAGGTGGCTAGAATCTATGTGCAATGCTCTCAAAGAAAGGTGAAAACCTGATTCCCAAGCCCACTTACAAAGTACTTTCTTCTGTACTGTCCAACAGAAACATAATGCGAGCTACTGTGTTATTTTCATTTTTCTAGTAGCCACATTAAAAAGGCAAAGTAAACAGAGATTAATTTAAATGATATATTTTACTTAACCAAATATATATAATAAATATTGTCATTTTAACATTGAAGTAAAAAATGTTACTGACATATTCTAGATTTCTTTTCACACTTTTTAGTTCTGGTGTGTATTTTACACTTACAGTACATCTCATTTCAGATCAGCCACATTTAAAGGGCTCAGTAGCCACACATGGCTGGGGGTTATCTTATCAAACAGGACAGTCTTATATTTTGTAAAGAAACTTCACATACATTATTAGTTGGGTCTTAAGAGAATTGAATATTGAATATATGCATGTTGAATATCGAATATATGCATGTTCTCACTCACATGTGGGAGTCAGTAAAGTTTATCTCATGGATGTAGAAAGTAGAATGAATGATACCAGAGGCTATGAAGGGTGTGAGTGTGGGGTTGGGGGAGAGATGGAGAGAGGTTGGTTAATGGGTACAAAAATAAAGATAGAATGAATAAGTTTTAGTGTTTGATAATGGAGGAGAGTGACTATAGTTAACAACATTGTACTGTGTATTTCTAAGTAGCCAGAAGAGAGATTTGAAATGTCCCCAACACATAGAAATGACAAATATTTGCAGTTATGGATATCCTAAATACCCTGACTTCATCATTACACAGTCTGCGCATGTAACAAAATATCACATGTACCCCATAAATATGTAGAAATATTTTATATCAATAAAAACTATAAATATGACCATTGTCAAGTTACAGATGTAAAGAGAGGTTCAGTGACTTGCCAAAGTACCAGAGCTGGGGCTGGATCTAAAGTTTGGGTGCTTTGTGTCCAACACTAGTGTTCTCTTCCTTTCTGGTTCATTAGATACAGAGGTGATTAAAATCAAGGGGACTGAACAGATGATTCTCCATGCTCCCTTTATTTCTGTGGAGTAATAAGAATCATCATGGAAGGAACCTGGGCCACTGGCTCCACTACCTCTGCTTTCTGGCCACCCATAGAGACCCAAACTATTTCAAAGTACTGTAGGGAAGGAAGGATTCATCCATCCCCTTTGGTTGAGCAAGAAGAGGCAGGCCTAGTCATCTTTGATTCATCTATTTCTCTCCTGATACCTACTCCCAATCCATGAAAATCTTGTCAGGTCCTTCAAAACATATCTTGTGATTTAAAAGATACATTAAACAAATGTAATGTATTGGTCTTGTTTGGCTTCTTATTCAAACAAGGCAACTGTAAAAATATATATACCTATAAGACAATCATAAATTTGAATTCTGCCTTGTTAACTGATATTAATTACTGATCACAAATTACTGATGATATTGTCACTGTCTTAAAAAGTGCTTATCTTTTAGAAATACACAGGTATTTGTGATGAAACGATATGTCTATATTTTCTTCAGATTGGCCATAAGTTGCTAATTGTTGAAACTGGGTGATGGGTACACGAGGGATCATTATATCATTCTCTCTGCTTTTGTAAATGTTTGAAATGTTCCATAATAACAAGGTTGAACATTTTTACATTGTGAATCCATCCACTTCTTTCCATTTCCATTGCTGTCACTATAGTCCAAGTCATCACCACCACTATAGCCTGGACTACTGCAATAACCTCTGTGTTTGTTCTTCCACCCTTCCCATTCCCTCTCTTCTTCCCCCCACAGCCAGAGTGATCTTAAAAACACAAGTCAGAGCCTTTGAATGGCTCCCCATTACATTGAAAATAAAAATCTGCATTGACCTATGAAGGTAGCCAAGATCTGGTTCCTGATTCTGTATCTGTAATTATTGGTTTTGCTTACTCTGTTCCACTTACTGACCTTCTTACTGTTCCTCAAAAGTACTGAGGTTTTCTTAACCTCAAGGTCTTCACACTTAAAGTTCCCTCAGCCTTAAACTCTCTTTCCGATCTTCCCAAGACTTGCTCCCTCATAATATATAGGTCTCAGCTCATATATCACTTCCTCAGAAAGGCCCTTCTTGACTGCTCTGTCCCAAGTAGCCCACTATGTTCCCCAACCACACTTCATCACTTTATCCTTCTTTCATCTTCTATATATCACCACTATATGAACTTGTTATGGATTCATCTATTTATCGATTTCTTGTTTGTTTTTCCCTCACTCCTGCATTAGGATGTAATCTCAAGGTCAGGGACTTTTACTTAGTTACTGTTGTAACCTCCAAGTCCAGGAAATGGCTGGCACACAGGGACCCTCAAGAGGTAATTGATGAGTTTAAGAATCTAAGCTAGAAAGGCAGATATGAAAGTGGACATAGGATTACTGATTAGCTACCATTTACCGAATAATAAGTGCTAGACATGTAGTAAGCCCTTTTCATGCATATTATCTCATTTAATCCTCATAGACACCCCGTCATTCTCCCCTTTTTTGTAGGTTAGGAAACTAAGGCTCAGAAAAGTTAAGAAATTTTTCCAGGGTCACATAGTTAGAAACTGGCAAAATCAGAAGTCAAGCCTAGGTTTGTTTTAACTCTAGAGCTTGAGCTAATAAACTCTAAGATATACAGCCTCATGGGGAACCATGCTTACGTCTACATTGTGTTTGAAAAACAAGAACATCTCCTTAAATGCCTTCTAATAATGAAGATGGTGGCATTCTCTACAATATTCATGGGAAGAGGTCTCTCTGTTAGCCTTCTATTGGTATAGTTTTGTCTAATCAGACCCTTGAACACATGTTGATCAAATAGAGAGACTTACCGGAAAGCCTGGAGGGCCACTTATGCCTGGAAAACCCTTAGGCCCTGGTTCACCCTGGAAAATCAGCTAAAGGTTAGTGAGTGGCATCAGGAAACAGTGAACACACAGGAGGAGGGCTCTCTGAAAATATTTGGACTGAGGAGTGCGGGACCAATGCGTTACCAGGATTAGGGCAGCAGAGAGTGGTGCAGATTCCTCAGGCTCCCTAACTAGAAGCTGTACCAGGATGTCTTAGTTCACGGAGCTGTGGGAGGAGGATTACGGACCATAACTGTCTAAAACAGAATGTCAAATACTGAGGCTAATTGAGAGACAGAAAGGATGATTGTCTGTTTTCTTTCTGGTGGAAAGTAC